GTGGTTGCTTTATAGTCTGTATTCAGGTTCTTCAAGCTAGTAAGACTGTGGGCTTTTGTCTGAATTTTAGCCACCTCTCATGGTACAGACTGAGACCTCCTTGGCCCAAAGCCATAATAAGGGAAACCAGTGTTGTTACCTTCTTCCAAGTGTTGACCCTCCTTCCTACTTCAGAATCTGCATGCTTTTTCTTCTTCAGTACCTTTGGATAGTTGTTCTTAAAAAAAATATTTTGTCCAGAGTTCATATATATGTGTAAGAGAGTTGGTCTCATAGGAGCTCTTTGCCATAACTGGAAGCAAAACCCTCATCACAGATAAAAATTATTCTATTGACAAAGTCAATTATTATTTTTTGTTTACCTAGAAAGTAGTTATTTAGTAGTACATACGTTCTACTTTAGATTCTGTGAAAACCTGCCCATTTAGGTTAATCTGTAAGTGATCAAAATGTTTCCTGCCCAAATTAGAAGAAACACTTGGAGCTGTGGTTTCTAACCTTTTTGGGTCATGGGACTCTTTGAGACTGATGAAAATTGTGTTCTCTCCCCAGAAAAATGCACATATTAAATATAAACGTATTTATATTTAAACAAAATTTATATTTATACAAATTTTTATAAATCTTCAGAGACTTTGGCTTCGAAGCTTTTCAGCATAAGCATCCCTCATTTAGGGTTATTCAAATTAAACAAGTACCAACGGGCAAATAGCAATACAAATGTCAGTTTGTTTCTGGCTTGGTCAGAGCAGAACAAGTAAACAAAGAACCTATTAGAAAGTCTTTGCAAGGCATACAAGCTTAAAAAAAAATCTGCAATGATTTATCTGAACTGTATTTTCCTGGTGGCAGATTCACAAAGATAGACACCTATTTGACTAATTGTAATCTAGCTGTTAGAAATGGGCCTTAGTTTTGATATCCAGACCTACCAATATTTGTATGCTCTGTATGTGTTGGGCAAATAATAGCTTATTATTTCTAGGACAATAGGACAGTTGTGGTTGTGATGTCATATTCCTAATATTGTTTAACTTTTTTCAAAATATGTTTTTATTCATTTTTAAATAGGAAGGGAGAGGGAGAGATAGAAACATCAACGAGAAACACATCAATCGACTGCCTCCAGCACGCCCCCTACTGGGGATTGAGCCCACACCCCGGGAATCGAATCTGGAACCTCTTGGTCCATGAGATGACATTCAATCCGCGGAACTACACCAGCCTGGCCTGTTTACTTTTTCAAAGTTCTAAATAATTGAGGATTAGCTTGTGATATGCATACAGGTTTCAGGAGTTAGGGCTAAGGTTGGTGTTCTTGAGGCATTAAGTCTCTAGGGCAGTGGTTCTCAACCTTGGCTGCACATTAGAATCACCTGGGAATCTTTTTAAAATCCTGATTTCTGGGCCTCATCCTCTGGAAATTCTGTTTCTTTGTTATGGGGTGGGGCCACAACATTAGTAACAAAGAAACAGAATTTCCGGAGGATGAGGCCCAGCAATCAGGATTTTAAAAAGATTCCCAGGTGATTCTAATGTGCAGCCAGGGTTGAGAACCACTGCTCTAGTGCTTATTTTCAAAACTCAGCCCTCAGTAAAATGATGAAAAATTCAATTTTAAAAAAAAAAAAATATATATTATTGATTTTTTTACAGAGAGGAAGGGAGAGGGATAGAGAATTAGAAACATCGATGAGAGAGAACCATCGATCAGCTGCCTCCTGCACATTCCCTACTGGGTATGTGCCCACAATCAAGGTACATGCCCCTGACCAGAATCGAACCTGGGACCCTTGAGTCCGCAGGCCGACACTCTATCCACTGAGCCAAACCGGCCAGGGCCAATTGTTTTTTTAATAAAAAAAAACCTTAGTTTTGTGAATCGCTTTTGTCTATTACTTTTCTCACACTCTTTATAGGGTGGCTATGATAAACATGATTGGTTCTCAGGGGCCTCATAACTCTTCTTAGTACACCTCCCTTTTCCCTCGCAGTGAAAATGCTATGCTCCTGTTGATAGGCCCAATCTAATACACAGGAGGATTTTTCTTTAAGGTTGGCACTCTCTGTGGTGCCTCTACTCAGAACCGGACTCTTTATCTTTAAGACTTCTTTATTCAGCTTGTTTGAAGAAGCGGCAGGAGGTGGAGAGGTGATGGTGAGGACAGAGGATCTAAAGACCATTTCTCCCTGTAATTCATAGCTTCCTCTTCTTCTTTGTCTATGCAACAGTTCAGCTCATCATGTTTACCTCTGCTTCATCTTTTTTTTTTTTTTTAAATTATCTCCTTAAGTAATCTCCTTCATCATTTCAATGCTCATTATTTCTTAGGAGGCACTTCATTGCCATCTTAGGAAAATATCTTTTTCTAAAGGCTTTCAAATAGGGCAGTGGTAACTGCCCTGATTCCTATATACAGCATGTCCTCAAATAATGTAGTTTCATTCAATGTCATTTCATTATAACATTGATGAAAAAATAATTGATTTTGGGCTGGGGCTACTGTCTGTGTGGAGTTGGCACATTCTCCCCATATCTGCATGAGTTTTCTCTGGATACTGTGGTTTCCTCCCACATTCCAAAGATGTTCATGTCAGGTGAATTGGCTTGTCTGCATTGTCTCAGTCTGAGTGAGTATGGGTGTTAATGCTCCCTGCAATGGAATGGCATCCTGTTCAGGGTTGGGTACTGCTTTGCTCTGTCAGATGACCACCTGCAACCCTGAACGGGAATAAGTGGGTTGGGAAATAATGATCTTACTTGTTTGTATTAATCTTTCATATATACACACATATATACATATATATTCACACACACATACACACACACATATATATATATATATATATTTCATATTTCAGAGTTTAATATTAGAAGTGTCTTGGGTCTTTATTTAGAAGTTTAGTGATGTTTTTGTGACCAGAAATATGCAAAAGGAGCTTAATTCTAGTTTATATCAATTGTCCTATTGTAAAATTAGTTTCATTATACGTCTTTTTGCTTAAAGTTGCAGTTTCCAAGAACCTATTGATGACATTAAGTGAGGACTTACTGTAGGTTCATACATTTTGTGGTTTTTGATGAGGGGATTTTCTAGTCTAATAAGGAAGAAATGAGCAAACTGACAAAAGTGAAGAAGCTTAGCAGGAAGAAATTCTTATCTTCTCTCAGAACTGAATACAGTTTAAAAATACATTCTGAGAATCTCAGACTGTAGACAAGATCATTATGTCGTCTGCTTGCTGTTTAATTACTTTGTACTATAAGTGCAGATTGGAATGGGTGGGCTCTTTGCAGGTGTCACTGAAAGCTCCGAGACCAGCTCTGCAGTGTTGCAGGGCTTTATTGATACTGCTGGTACCAGTGGCCTGCTGATTTTGCCAGTGTTCTTTAGTGACGATTACCAAATGTCATTTAAGAGATGCAATTTATTGGAAAAGAGTTTCAGAAAAGTCAGTTTGGAAGAAGGGATCAGGAAATGGGAGGAATTGAAATTGTGGTACTTGCTTTACTAACAGAAAGGAAGTTGAAAATTATGAATAAGTGGGCTTACAGTGATGATGGACAAAACCTGAGAGAATGGAAGTGAAGATTTTGTTTTAAAAGCAGTAACATTATTAGTTTCTGGAACAGGTGCCTTAGAATTATTACAAAATATTCTTTAAAAAATCTTTTTTAGAGAAAAAAAGGGAGAGGGAGGGAGAGAAAGAGAGACAAGAAAAGAGAAGAGAAGAGAGAAGAGGAGAAACATCTATCGGTTGCCTCTCACACACACCTTGACTGGGTATTGAACCTGAAACCCCTTTGGTGCATGGGATGACACTCAACCAACTGAGCCATACTGGCCAGGGCCAAAATATACTTAAAAAAAATTTTTTTTCAATGTCTCTGGGATGATTTAGAGTGAAGGACTGTCTGACTTTAGGTCACCCCAATTCAGTATTGGTGAAGAATGCATCTTTCTTTTTTTTTTTTTTTTTAAATATATTTTATTGATTTTTTACAGGGAGGAAGGGAGAGAGATAGAGAGTCAGAAACATCGATGAGAGAGAAACATCGATCAGCCGCCTCCTGCACATCCCCCACTGGGGATGTGCCCGCAACCCAGGTACATGCCCTTGACCGGAATCGAACCTGGGACCTTCCAGTCCGCAGGCCGACGCTCTATCCACTGAGCCAAACCGGTTTTGGCAAGAATGCATCTTTCTTAGTAATCACCAGCCCCTTTGGGTTTCAAACCAACTTATAAAAACTATAGTTGGAACACAATTTATTATATCAACTAGGGCATGTGAACTGGATCCTACAAGTTTGTCTGAATAGTTAGACCAAATAAACTGAAGATTTGGAGCCTCCCTGATAAGAACCTCCCTGTGAATGGTTATTTGTATATGTTATTTTCCCTATATATATTTGATAGTAAGGTCCTTAAGAATAGTTGCTCATCTGGATTATTTTTAACCCCCACAGTACTTAAGGCCCTTGAATAGCATAAATAGATATAGAATTCAATTGCTCAATAAACAGACATAGAATTCAATTGAATTGTCCTTGATCATATTTCCTACATATTTTTCTGTGACTCCTAATAAATTTATTTGTTTGACGTATTTAGGCACATTTAATTTGTTCCCTACTCCGTAACCCCTAAGGAAAAGCAATATTTTGGGTAGCATACTTTTGGATAAATCACTAGTAACTTTGTAGTACTTTGATACTGGTTGAGCCCTTTATCCCATTATACTATATTGTAATGTTTTTCAAATTGAATTGTAACCATTAGTAGGTCAGCAATTAGCATATTTAGTTTTAATGATATAGAGCAGAAATTATGAGAGGGTAAGTATTTTGTGAAATTTTGTTTTAGGTAAATTTAGATATACATATGTGTGTGTTTATTGCTTCATGATGAAAAATTTATTTCATACTGGAGTCATGGTCAAAAAGTTTGAATCACACTACTTTATTGTAATACTCTGTTATTTCATTTGTCATATAGCATTATGCCAGTACATACAGGCTTCTAAAGCCAGGGACGGCGCCAGCCCTTTCATTTCCAGTACAACTGAAGGTAAAAACAAAACAAAATTGAGACTACCCAAAGCTTTCTGGTGCCTCTAAATATGTCTCTCTGGTGGCATTTTGTGCCCTTTGACCTTCTAACTTTCTTGTGCCTATTTGACTAGTAGATTTTTCACATTTGTATCCCTCTAGGCGGTGGGTTCTTTGGTTCTTCCTCTTTTCACTGTAATGCTCTGTTTTCAATATGCTGTAATGTTTTTAGGAGGAAGAAGGGGGAAACAAAGGAGAATTTCAGAAATTTTGAATGATTTTGAATTGATAAAATAGCTTGTTAGATTTTCATTAAAATCTGCTTTCTTGCTGTTCCTGAATCTTTTAGTTCCTTTGTATTTTTAAAGAGAGCATAGAAATGCATATTTCATTCTGACCTTAAAAACATTTATGCTTCAATGCTGTTATTAGTTAACTTTAAGCAAACTAAATATGGCATTCAGAAAAAAAGAGATGGATATAATCCTTTACCTTTCCTTGTGCTTTCTCCCCTCTCTCCCAAGAAAATTAACTGTTGGGTTTGTAGTAATTATTTTCATTTTAATGAAAAGGAATGATAGCTAGTGATGTCCAATATTAACCATGCTAAACTTTCAGCATCTTTACTTACCTAATAACTTTAATACCTTTCCTATTCTTAGATGGCTGGCATTTCTGTACTTGCTTTGCCTTTATTTCTGTACATTGCTGGACTACCAAGCTCAGACATTCATAATCCTGAGATTGCAAGGGACTTTGTGGAGATGATTTACTTCTTTCTTTTTCTTGTAGGCGAAAATTTTGAGCAGACACCATTAAGACGAACATTCAAATCTAAGGTCCTTGCACGATATCCTGAGAATGTAGAATGGAATCCCTTTGACCAAGACGCAGTGGGAATGGTTAGTATTTGTTAACCACAAATATGAGAATTTACAAGAGCAAATTTTAAAAAAGGGGTTGTATGTATATTGCTCATGATTCTGCATTTTGATCAGTATATCAGATATTCAGAATACATATATCAAAATACTAAAAGTCACAGTGTGTTTCTATTGTGTCAGACAAATATATAATAATGGGTCAGCAAACTCTTTTTGTGTGGTACTTAACTGTTGGTTGCTTATAGCACTGGGATTACCTAAGAGTTAGGTTTAAAAGTAATCTCAATCTGTGTTATACATGTCTGAGTTATATGACAGAAATGACTATTTTTGTTTCATCATCATTTTAGGTAGGACATGTATAAAAACACTGTTACTTTTAACAGTCTTGGAGAGCCTCAAGTTTTTAAATGCCTAGTCCAGTGCTTATTTCATGTTATATTCTAAAAACACCTAGACTTTGGGAAGTCAAGGTCAAGGCTAATGGATATAACATAATGTAGGTCGTTGTATTTGTTAATCCAGGCTGCTGGTAGTTCGTTTGTATAGGCAGGATTGTGTAAAATGTAAATGGGGACTGATTGATTCAAGTCAATTTGATTAGCTTTCCAAGTTTCTTTATATAATCCATCTGAGTTAAAGTGAAAAAAGTACATCTTTATCCTGATTATGTCATCTCCTTGCTTTGTATGAAATGAGCACCCTTTTTTCTATGAATAGAAAGAAGGTTTTATTGATGACAAAATTCTGTGAGCTGATAGAGTCTAAAAGTTTATTTTATTTTTAGATACAAAGTTATATCTATCTGATTTTCAGATATATTTCTAGCATCATCTTTCAATATGTGCTATCATGCTGCTTTCTTTTTCCTTCTTTCCTTTGTGCATTTTTCCTGTCTCTCAAATACCCTTCTTTTCCTTGTCTACCTGATGAATTGTAACATAACCTCATCTGTGAAGCCTTTTCTGATGTTCCTAGACTGAGTTGTCTGTTCTTTCTTCCCCTAGCACTTTGTATATACTTCTCTATAGCCCTGATAACTGCATTATCATTTTATTTACTTGTATATCTTACTTAGAATGGGAGACCTTTAGGACAGGTATTTAGCTGTGTGATCTTGATATCCCAAACACCCAGGAAGTGGGTGCACTATAAGTAAAGAAATAGTGGTGGGTGTTCTGAAAAGAGGGTCAGCAGTGAGTATTCTCACCACTTGTTCCCTTGTCTTTGCAGCTATGCATGCCCAAAGGGCTAGCATTCAAGACCCAGGCTGATCCCAGAGAGCCACAGTTCCATGCCTTTATTATCACAAGGGAGGATGGCTCTCGGACATTTGGGTTTGCCCTCACATTTTATGAGGAGGTGACTAGCAAGCAGATCTGCAGTGCAATGCAGACGCTCTACCACATGCATAATGCTGAGTATGATGTCATACATGCTCATCCTGCTGATGGCCGAGACCACAGTGACATGGAGGATGGTGAAGGCACTCCTGGGACCAAGCTGCAGCGCTTCAACTCCTATGACATTAGCCGGGACACGTTGTATGTCTCTAAGTGCATCTGCCTCATCACGCCCATGTCCTTCATGAAAGCATGTCGGAGTGTTCTGGAACAACTTCACCAGGCAGTCACTTCACCTCAGCCCCCTCCACTGCCCCTTGAGAGCTACATATATAACGTACTCTACGAGGTGCCACTCCCACCTCCCGGCCGGTCCTTGAAGTTTTCTGGGGTCTATGGGCCAATAATCTGCCAGAGACCAAGTACCAATGAGCTTCCCCTATTCGACTTTCCTGTCAAAGAAGTCTTTGAACTGCTTGGGGTGGAGAATGTGTTTCAGCTTTTTACTTGTGCTCTTCTGGAGTTTCAGATTCTGCTCTACTCACAGCGTAAGTCAGTGCTTACTCAGCTCTCTTCTTGCATAGGGCCTCCCTTTTCATATCGGATACAGTGGGGCTGACTGTAAAGGTCTAGGGTTGTTACAATTTGAGCAAAACTCAGATCTTTTACAGGTATGTGGTAGATGGCAAACCAATGGACCATGAGAGGGATACCGGTTCTTTTTGTTGTTAATCCTCACCTGAGGATATTTTTCCCATTGATTTTTAAGAGTGGAAGGGAGGGAGGGCAGGAGAGAGAGAGAAAGAGAGAGGCAGGGAGAAAGAGAAACATGGATGTGAGAGAGAGACATTGATTGGTTGCCTCCTGCTCTGGCCCTGACTAGGGCCAGGGATCAAACCTGCAACCTAGGTATGTGCCCTTGACGAGGAAGCCATGAAGCCATGACCCTTTGGTACATGGGATGATGCTCTAACCAAGCAGTTCTCAACCTGTGGGTCGCAACCCCTTTGGTGGTCGAACGACCCTTTCACAGGGGTGGCCTAAGACCATCCTGTGTACCAGATATTTACATTACGATTCGTAACAGAAGCAACATTACAGTTACGAAGTAGCAACGAAAATAATTTTATGGTTGGGTCACAACATGAGGAACTGTACTTAAAGGGCCAGAAGGTTGAGAACCACTGCTCTAACCACTGAACAACAGCAGCCAGGGTGCCAGATATCTTTTTTTAAAATTTAAACTCTTTATTGTTTAGAGTATTACATATGTCTCCTCCCCCCTCCCCCATTGACCTCTCCCCATCACTCCCACCCCTAGCAGATACCGGTTTTAAAAAATGGAGCTAGAACTTAAGAACATTGCAAAAGAACCAGAATGGAGGCTACCTGTAGATTGTTGCAGTTTTCCCTAGTTTGTACTTTATTGCCTCAAGATATTCCTAATTCACTATAGTACTTTAGCGACTTTGTATTACTGAATCTTTTTAAAGCATTGACTTTTGTTTTCACAGAAACTGTTCTTTCTTTTGCCCTTGTATTTCACCACTTGTTTGCATACTATTTGGCTAAAGTATATAATCCAGTTATAGGTTCAACTAGTACAAACAAATCCTTGACATTAGTTTTTTTTTTTTTTTAAATATTTTTATTGGTGTCAGGGAGGAAGGAAGAGGTAGAGAGAGATAGAAACATCCATGAGGAGAGAGAATCACGAATAGGCTGCCTCCTGCACACCCCACACTGGGGATGGAGCCCACAACCTGGGCATGTGCCCTGACTGGGAATCGAACCCTGACCTCCTGGTTCAGAGGTCAACGCTCAGCCCCTGAGCCATGCTGGCCGGGCCAGAATTGGTTTTTTGTTTGTTTGTTTGTTTTAATATATATATATATTTTTTTTATTATTAGTTAAGGTATTACAAATGTGTCCTCATCCCCCCCATTAACCCCCAACCTCCCCCCCACCGCCCGACATTAGTTTTTTTATTGCAAAAATAATGTATGCTCAAGTCATATACTTAAAACAATTCTAAAGGTAGTAAATGAAATCTTCCCTCTTTCTCTCCTGTGGTTGCCACAGATCAAATTTTTTGTGTATTCCTAATGAAAATTATAGTTTTAAAAAACAAATAATATGTGGACAAACAATGCAGAGAAAGTTGTAAGTTTTCCTCTTTTTTGATCTAGAGTTCTACCCCCATGATCTTTTAATTATTTTAATGCCCTCCTCCCAAATATTTTTAAACAATGCACTATTTTTATGTAAACATTGAGTACACACGTGTTAATTTAATTTTAAAATTAAATTTATTGGGGTGACATTGGCTAATAGGGTCAGATAGGTTTCAAGTGTACATTACTATGATACATAATTTGCATATTGCATTGTGCACTCACCACCCAGTCAGATCATCTTCCTTGATGCACTTTTCTGTAGTATAATAAAAATGTTAGAGACTATGGCCTTGGCCGGTAGTTCAGTGGCTAGAGCGCTGGCCTGTGAACTGAAGGGTCATGGGTTTGATCCCTAGCCTGAGTGGGGTGCGTGCAGGAGGCAACCAATCAATGTGTCTTTCTCACATTGATGTTTCTTTCTCTCCCTCTTCATCCCTTCCTCTCTCTCTTAATGGAAAAAATATATATCCTTGGGTGAGGATTAACAACAGCAACAAAATGTTATAAATGATGAAGTTTTAGTCCAGAGGTCCTCAAACTTTTTAAACAGGGGGCCAGTTCACTGTCCCTCAGACATTCCACACATGTGCACTGTGGGCCCGGGACGAGTCGGCTGCTAAGCAGGACAGGCTAAGCAGGACAGGCAGCGGCGGCAAAAACACTGGGTGGGCCGGATAAATGTTTTCGGCAGGCCGCATGTGGCCCGCGGGCCATAGTTTAAGGACCCCTGTTTTAGTCAATAATTGCTATATTTGCATTACTAGTTAAAAAAATAATAAAATGATTTCCAGGTCTTGTTCTTTCCTTAGCCAAGAGCAGGGTGATAACTTTCAAAGCATTAGTAAGCAGATATAGGATTCTTTGTTAAACTTCTACCTAGTTGATACATACCAGTTTCTGTTCCTACTCAGTCTTCCTCATTTTCTGGAAAGCTTCTTGTTACTTATAACTTCTTTATGAACCAAGCTGTGATTTTAAATGATGGGGTGGGTTTTTAGTACATGAAACCACTAACCCTTATGAAAGCTCATTTGAAGCCAGCCATTCCCGAAGGATGATTTTAAAATGTATGTTCCTGCGTTGGCCCTTTTTGCCTGAAAAAGGGACATACCATTTATGAATAGTAGTTTTTTTAGTTTCAATTTTAACTGGTCCATTTTATTGGCTTTGCCAGTGTATTTATTACTCATTTAAAAATAATAAAACAGTTCTAGAAATTGCATTCTGAAGAAGAGCTAAACTTTGAGCACAAGCCTTCCTCTCCACTCTATCTTTGACCTAAAACAAGAATTTTGAGTCATTAAAGTTAAGTCTTGTGGGTCTTTCAAGTTCTAGGGAAGTGTTAAAATAACACCTTTGTGCTGTTCTCATTCAGGAAAGGTTGTAGCTTATAGAATGCAGACACATCTGAGTGCTAAAAGGCCTGTTTGGGCTTCCATGCTGAACGAACGGAGACCCAGACTACTGTTCTTTTCATTTCAGTTCCACTTAAGAGAATCTACTTAACATTCTGGTTTAACAAGGTGCTATTTATGATTTCTATAATATTTTCACATTAAATTTTATTATAAGCAGGGACCTGTATGTAGGAGGGTATATTTCAACTTGTGATCTGTTGAGGTCTCTGACACCCACTAGGGATTCACACGCATACCCTTGCTGAAATTTACTCTGATCCTTTCTAAATGTGAAATTGTAATTTTAACTTACTATTTGAGAAGCAAGTGCCTCATTTTTGACTGTTTGGTTTGTGTGTGTGTTTTTTTTTGGCCTAGATTACCAGAGACTGATGACTGTGGCGGAGACAATTACAGCTCTCATGTTTCCTTTCCAGTGGCAGCATGTCTATGTCCCTATTCTCCCGGCTTCTCTCCTACATTTCTTAGATGCTCCTGTTCCATACCTGATGGGCTTGCATTCCAATGGCCTGGATGACCGGTCAAAGCTGGAGCTGCCTCAAGAGGTGAGAGAAATGTGGAGCTTGAGTGCTGATGCCCTTGGCCCAATCTAGGATTGGGAGAGAAGGGCTTTTGGAATATGCCCACTGTGGTGTCACCAAGTTTGTTTTCTTTTATTTTGGGGAACATTAATAACTTTCCAGGAAAAAAGTAAAAAACAATGAACATTTAGCTCGGTTTATATCATTCCAGAAACAGTGGTCATTTTTATCACATGACATATCTCTGTGTTTATACAGTTGTGAATTGCCTTTTTCATACAGGTTTTCAAACACAGTACTTCACACACTTTTAAAGGTATTTATTAGAAACTCTTTTTATTATATAAAACTTTAAACATATACAAAAGAGTAGCATAAGGAATTTGTATGTTCTCAGTGCCCAGAGCTTCAATAGTTATACGTTATATTTTATGTTATTTTTTATTTCTATACCTTCTGCCTCCTTTATTTTAAGGAAATCCACAAAATAGAATCCTATCTAATAAAAGAGCAATATGCAAATTAACCATCACTCTGTCACTCCATCACAAAGATGGCGATGGCCACGGAGCTGAAGTGAGCAGGAGGCTTGGGTTGCCCCCGGGCACTGGGCTCTGCTCAAGGCTACAAAGTTTCAATCATAGAAGATAAATAAATCCCAGATACCTGCTTCTAGCCGGCTCAAGGAGGGGCTGGGAGCCTGGGTTACCAGGGGCAACCCAGGCTTCCAGGAGACCTGTGCTCTGCACAAGGCTACAAAGTTTCAATTATAGAAGATAAATAAATCCCAGGAAAAAAAAAGAAAAAAAAAGAGAGGCTGGGAGCTTGGGTCATTGGGGGGCGTGGCCAGCCTGAAAATGGCCATCAGCCCCTCACCCAGGTGGCCAGGCACCCCAGTGGGGACCCCCACCCTGAAGGGGGTGTGGCCAGCATGAAAAAAGCCCTCAGCCCCTCACCCAGGCTGGCCACACCCCCATGGGGTGAAGGTCCCCACTGGGGGGCTTGACCAGCCTGTAAACAGCCATCAGCCCCTCACCCAGGCTGGCCAGGCACCCCAGCGGGGCCCCCCACCCGAAGGGGGTATGGCCAGCCTGAAATCGGCCCTCAGCCCCTCACCAAGGCTGGTCAGGCACCCCAGCTGGCCCCCACCTGTGCACCAGGCCTCCATCCTATATAATAAAAGGGTAATATGCAAATTGACCCTAACAGCAGAATGACTGGGAATGACTGGTCACTATGACACTGACCACCAGGGGGCAGACGCTGGAGCTCTGCTCAGCCACAAGACAGGCTGACGGCTGCCAGCACAGCAGTGGTGGCAGGAGCCTCTCCTGCCTCCTCAGCAGCGCTAAGGATCTACGACTGCAGCTTAGGCCTGCTCCCTGCTGGCAAGTGGACATCCCCCGAGGCCTCCTGGGTTGCCAGAGGGATGTCTGACTTCCATCTTAGGCCTGATCACCCGGGGAGCAGGCCTAAGCCAGCAGGTGGACATCCCCCGAGGAGTCCCAGACTGCGAGAGGGCACAGGCCGGGCTGAGGGACCCCCCCCTCCCCCGAGTGCACAAATTTTTGTGCACCGGGCCTCTAGTTTTATATATACTCTAGTAATCAGCTGTATATTAATAAATCAGTGGTTTTCTTTTACAGGCCACAGTTGATCTATAAAAGTTGACTTGATCATTGTGATTCTTGTGGTACAGAGTCAGCTTAATAAACTTTCCTTGTTCTGTATAGGAAGGCCTTGAGAAAATGCTTCTCTTGCTGTGAGGGTGGCCTGCTCTTCTTCCCTATTTTTAATACCAAAAGAATTGATTAAAAATTTGTATTTACATGTTTATTTCCTAGTTCATTTTAAATAGATTTAAAGCATGCTTTTAAATAAGATTATTTTACTTTTTATTTTCCTACAATTACCAATAGAACTGGTTTACCTTTTTAGGTCATTTTGTGACTGGTATGAAACTAGCTGGGAAGACGGCTTTCCTACTGTGACTTTCTTTTTTTAAAATATGCTTTTATTGATTTTTAGAGAGAGAGGTAGGGAGAGGGATAGAGAGATAGAAACATAAATGAGAGAAAAACATCAACATCAGTTGGCTGCCTCTTCCCCACTACTGGGGATCAACCCGAACATGTGCCCTGAATGGGAATCTAAAGGGTGACCTCTTATTTCCTGAGTCCACACTCAACCGATGAGTCACACCAGCCGGGCCTTACTCTGATTTTCTTAGACATTAGAAAGGTCTGGGAAGAAGACTTTGGAACATGACTTTCTTTCCTCCATCAGAATTTTTTTGAGGAGGAAATTTTTGGGGTGTAACTGAAGAATATGATTAAGGGGACCTCCTGTATCTGAGCAGCATTCAGGTTGTTAGGCATATCTGGACAGCAGGCTTGATGAAATTGCTGATAATTAGATCACATTTATGATATTTAAATTATAGTCAAATGCATCTCTGTACTCTTTTTTCCTCTCCTTTGGTTTTAGAATTAAAATGTCTTCTTGTAGCTTTTTAAATTTCTGCCTTTTTTGCTCCTTTGATTCTGTAGAGCTTTGTGCTATTTTGGATGGGACAAGATTAATTAATAAAGGAAGAAAATATCTAAATGATGGGGAAAACTATTGGGAGTATTGAGTTTTTATATGTATTTGTCTACTCTACTGATAAATATAGGGTGTTCCAAAAAATGTATATACACACTTTGAATAATTATAAAGGCAGTGTTTATTAAAATACATTTCATTTTCAAAATTGAGCTGTCAGCTGTTAAAATGTGTGTACATTTTTTAGGGACACTGTGATACATTAAGAGTAGATACCAAAGATTGGAGAACAGGGATTTTTTGTTTTGTTTATTCTAAACAAATGCATATTTAATATTGACATTTCTTCCTAGTAAACCTAATTATAATTTTGTAAAGTCAAAATAAAAATAACAAAAATGGTTGAAACTGTAAAGCCAAAAAGGCATGCTACATGCATAATCCAATAAATAGGTCACTAGGCAACAAGCCAGATTTGTCAGTTTTATTTTAATCTTTGGCATTAGCTTGCTGTATACTTAGGGCAAGTTCTGTTCCCTCTAGGATCTCTCAGCATAATTTTTTGTTTTTAATGGAATGTTTTATTTATTTATTTTGTTTTATTTTTTGTTAATCCTTATCCGAGGGTATTTTTCCATTGATTTTTAGAAAGAGTGGAAGGGTGGGGGAGAGACAGAGAGAAACATTGATGTGAGAGAGACACATTGCCTGGTTGCCTCCTGCACGCACTCTGACCACTGGGCTGGGGATCTAGCTTCCAACCGAGGTATGTGCTCTTGACTGGAATCGAACCTGGGATCCTTTAATCCATGGGCTGACTTTCTGTGCACTAAGCCAAACTGGCTAAGGCTCAGCATCATTTTTTGTGTGCTTCATATATATGTTTGTATGAAGATATTGCAAGGACATTAGCAATTTTCTTAGCAGGATTGTTTGAGAAACCTGAGAGTTCACACTGTTCTGGGTATTGGGGCTTTCACTTTTGCAGTTTTCCCCATCATTGCTGCATCCTTTGATTCTCCCTGTGGTCTATTTGGGAAGGAGTGGTGACACTGGGACTATAGAATACATGTCTGTACTTAATAAGCAGTTATAGGGTTTCAGAGTCCCACTTCACCCAGGGGGCAGTTTCATAACTGGATATTTTCTACATTGATTTTTAGCAGATGACCTCTGGGATATCTGTGTATTACCGATGGGTACACATAATGAATGGAGAATGGTAATATTTCTGAAAGACAACTTTGGGATGTCTCATAAGTGGTATATCCAATATAATAAAAGCCTAATATGCTAAGTGTGTAGTTGTCCAGTTAGCCGTTCAACCAATCAAAGCGTAATATATTAATGATATGCTAAGGCCACTCAACCGCTTGCTATGAAGTGCACTGACCACCAGGGGGCAGACGCTCCAACTGGTAGCTTAGCTTGCTGCTGGGGTCCGGCCTATCGGGACTGAGCGAGATGGGCTGGACATGCCCTGGATCCCTCCTGCAGCCCCTCCCCATCTGGCCAACCTCCCATCATGCACCGGTGGGGTCCCTAGGCCTGGCCTGCGCCTTCTTGCAATTCGGGACTCCTCAGGGGATGTTGGAGAGCCGGTTTTGGCCCTATCCCGCAGGCCAGGCTGAGGGACCCCACTGCTGCACGAGTTCATGCACCGGGCCTCTAGTATATAGTAAAAAATGCTAACAGTGCACAAAAGCATAAAGAATAAAGTAAAAATTATTTCTAATTTTACCACCCAGAGATAATTACTTTCAACATTTTGGTGGGCATCCTGTGGTATATTTATGCTGCTAGAAGGAAGCTTTGAGGCAGTACTAGGGAAATTCGCCTGGACTTGTGCAAAAAGGCATTATCAGGGTACTGGGATAAGGCAGGCTTGATCTGTAAAAGGGACTTTATCATAAGGGTGGGGAATGTCCAGCCCTCAGGCCAAATAAGACCCGAGAAATCATTTGGTCTGGCCCTGCCAAGGCATTAAGGGTGAGTTATTTAAATGTTTGATAAAATATAATAGGCTAATTTTTAAGTTGATAATTTTGGCCTGTGAATGATGTTATAAATATCCAAATGGCCCTTGGCAGAAAAATGGTTCCCCATCCCTGATCCAGAGTGTAGAGTGTACATTCCCTGACCCTCCTCTGTGTCAGAATTCATCAGTTGCTGCTCCATCTTTGAGCATCAAAAGTCTGAGAAGCCCTTTGTTTCTCTTTACACCAACACATGATCTCAGCTGGCCCTGAGCAAGTGAGAGTGCTGGGCTCCTTTGTGAGGCATCCTTTGTCCTGTCCTTCCCTTCTGGGTTTCATTGTCTAAGTTCAGGAAGGAGGCAATTCATCCACAGCTATGTGAGGAGAAGCAAGCAGAAGATGTGAGTAAAGAAGGGGGTGCTACTTCTTTCTCTCTTGTGCCCTTCTTTCTCTCCTGCTTTCCCCCGTCTTTCTCAGAATACTCCTTCAGTGTCTTTACCCAGTAATTTGTGGATTGGGCTTCCCTTCAATGAATAACATGGAGAGAGACTAGGACAGTGATGGCGAACCTTTTGAGCTCGGCGTATCAGCATTTTGAAAAACCCTAACTTAACTCTGGTGCCGTGTCACATATAGAAATTTTTTGATATTTGCAACCATAGTAAAACAAAGATTTATATTTTTGATATTTATTTTATATATTTAAATGCCATTTAACAAAGAAAAATCAACCAAAAAAATGAGTTCGCGTGTCACCTCTGACACGCCATCACTGAGGACTAGGAGGTCAGGCTGGCTGTGATTTGGTGTTAGGAACTTAGGGCTGGGCAAGGGCATTGTGATCTCTTGCAGGAAGAAATTTGGAAGAGATTTTGGGATTTGGGAGATCCGTGTGGTCACTACCTCAGAGTAGTTAAGTCTTGACATGGCCTTTCCCAAGAAGGCAGGAGGTTAACTGAGGAAAACCTATCACTTGGATTTAGTGCCTCTTACAGAATACTTTTGTCCGCCAGTCTGTTTTGCAGTACTACTCTTCTCAGCTGAGGAAAGGGGTGCATGAGGAGTTTGAGGCACACTTTTGTTTGTCAGAGCCCTCCCTGTGCTGGCAGGAAATAGCATGAGGCTATTCTATGAGCCTAGCAAGTGAACGGCCTCCTTTTTTTACTTTGGTTTCTTATCTTTATCTCCTTTAAGCCAACTCTGCAAAGAATGGCTAGTGGAATCTACTCATAGGCACCTATCTTACTCTGCATCTGTGAGGTGTGCCTGAGTGGCTTCCTCTACTCTAGCCACCTCTGATCAGGAGTGTATCTTCAATGTGTGGAGATAGCATTTGGACTTCATAAAATTCTTTACAGACATTCTATATTTGGCTCACAGCATTGGGAGAAAAGCCAACCAGGCATTGTTGAGCGGATGCAATTATTTTTAGCTACCTCTGTGTTTCCTATTGCACAAACTGCTTTTTTTCTTCTAAAAAGAGGAGAACCCATGGGGTACATGCATTGTGCCTCTGGTGGGTCACAGTGCTTTCTTCTGTTAGCTGTATGGACAGGGCTAAGGAAGCAGGCAGGTTATCTTTATGCCTAGATAATTTAATTCTGTCTTTACTATCTTTTTAAATTATTTGTTCTGAAAGCATTTATAATTTTAAAGTCTTAATAGAATAAACAAAAATAGCCTATTTTTAGATCTTAAACATTATTGGCCCTTTAACTTAGGCAGGGCTTAAAGTTGTTATTTTGTGAGATACTGTAGAAAGCTAAATTTAAAGTGATTCTTCTCCTAATCTTTGGATCATGGATATAGGAAAGTTTTCTTTTTTAGTTATAGATTGGTAGGCAGAGTAATTTATGCATTGAGCAAATGTTTATTGAATGAATGCATGCACAGATATGTTAAAACATACAGTTTTGATAGATTGAGAGTTTGTGAAATAGTTATATTAAGCTGGACTTATGTTACCCTCCGGCCTTTCTTTTAGAATACAAGACTTAATAGGCACAGGGATAAACAAAAAAAATCAATGGACCATCACTTTGTTATACAATAGAGGTACCATGCCAAAGGAGGGACTGCTTAATAACAGAGCTGGAAAATTTGCTTGTTCAAAGGGGAAAACAGTAGAAAAGGATCCTTACCTCACACCATAACAAAATAAACTTGAGATGGATTAAGAAGTTAAATGTCAAAAGCAAAACTCTAAGTCTTCTGGAAGAAAATATTAATAAGTACCTTTCTGACATCTGGGTAGGGACTTCATAAATAGGATACAGAAAACATAAAATAAAATATTAATAAATTTGATTTTATAAATTAAGAAAAGGACATCTTAAAATGAAAAGATAACTATGACAAGATATGTGTAACGCATATAACCTACAAAGTATTAGCATCAGCAGGTAATAAAGAACTCCTACAAATCAGTAAGAATGATGCTAAGTAATCCAATAGAAAAGCGGGTTAAAAACATGAAAAGTATTACATAAAACATACACATTTTAAAATTTCCTAGGGATCAGAAGTGTAAATTCACTCATTTCAGTGGCAAAATTAAGAAATCTGATGATACCAACATTAGCATCTTTTATTATGGAATTTTCCTATCTAGTAGTACTGTATTTATATATCTATTGAAGTTTTATATTCTACATTAACAATGTTAATTAACATTTGTTATGTACTATGGGCCTGGCACTGTGCTAAGTCTTTGACATTTATTGTTTTATAATCCTCAAAACAAACCTGTGATATAGGTAATATTCCTCTTATATGAATGAAAGAGACAAATTTTTAAACAGCAGTGCAGTTCAGTGAAGGAAATGACACCTATCTTGGCTAGAACAGGTTCATGGACATAAGATAAATACAAAGTAATAGGCATTTCTGATTTACAGTTGCAAGACAATCCCAACAGGGACAGGAACTATAAAATATTTCAGTCAAACCGAACAAGAAATATATATGACCACTAAGGGGAAGAGTGGATGGTTAAGAGCTTGAGGGTATGACTGAAGTCAGGGTAAGCGGAGTTCAAATCCCAGCTCCACTACTTACCAGCTGTGTGACTTTGGACAGATTTATCTCTCTGTGTCAGTTTTGTTTGTAAAATAAGGATAGATAGATATTGCCAAATTGTTCTTTGTTAGTCTAGATTACCCACCTCACCAGCAATGTATGAGAGTCTCTCTATCCAGAAGCAATCTTAAAGCCAGAAGGAAGCACAGAAAGCATCATGAACAGCCACTAAATCTTCCAAATCAGGACAGAGGCTCAGAAAGAGAGAATGGTCCGCTCAGGGTCATGTAGAGAGATAGTGACAGAGTCAGGTCTGAAACCTAGACTTTCTGACTTACTCCTGGTGTTCTTTTTACTATTGTAAGAATTCATGAATTAAACATTTATGAGCATTATTTGTGAGACTTCAGGATAATAATCCTTACCACTCTGATTTTATCTCTTTATTTCCATTTTATAGCTGAGGAAGCAGAATCAGAGAGGTTAAATAACTTTCTCAAGATCATACACCTAGAAAGTGGCAGGGTAATATTGGAACCTAGGTCTGTTTTCTTCCTGAGCCCCATCTTCTTTTTAAAAAAAGACCCTTATTGAGAATATGTGTTACTGATTTTTAAAGAGAGGGGAAAAGAGAGAGGGAGAGAGAAAGAAAGAGAAACATTGATCAAACATTGATTGGTTGCCTCCCGTACACATCCCCACCAGGGATCAAACCTGAAACTTAGGTATGCGCTCTGACTGGGAATCGAACCCATCACCTTTGGTGTACGGGATGATGCTCCAACCAACTGAGTCACACCAGCTAGGGCAAGCCCCATCTTCTTTATACCGTACTTCATATGTGCCCATGTCAGATGTTTTCTCTTTCCTATTTGTTCATTATCCTTCCTAAAACTATTTCTTAGTGCTTTGTTTACACTCCTCATCCTTTTTTTGACTGCCAGGCTAACCTCTGCTTTGTGGATATTGACAACCACTTCATTGAGCTGCCAGAGGACTTGCCTCAGTTTCCCAACAAATTGGAGTTTGTCCAGGAAGTCTCTGAGATTCTCATGGCATTTGGCATTCCCCCTGAAGGGAACCTTCATTGCAGTGAGAGTGCCTCCAAGCTGAAGAGGCTCCGGGCCTCTGAGCTTGTCTCTGACAAGAGGAATGGGAACATTGCAGGCTCCCCTTTGCATTCCTATGAGCTACTCAAGGAGAATGAAACTATCGCCCGGCTGCAAGCCTTGGTCAAGAGGACTGGGGTGAGCCTGGAAAAGGTAAGATGCTGCGTACGAATCTGTGACAGGTTTGGTCTGTGCTAGGGTACTGTCCTGGTGAATTAAGTTGTCGGGTGAGAAAGCACTCAGTTCAGGAAAAGGCACATTTGTCAGAGTGAAAGAATGCTCTGGTATGGGAGACTGGATTCAGCTTTGGAAAATATTATCCTCGCAAAAGCTACTGGAATCTAAATTGGGGGTTAAATCTGGGTACTTTCTCACTTGGGCATTAAAGAGAGTCTGCTCTCATCCTATGTGAACACGCAGCAGAGCGACTCGGAGAGATGATATTGGTAATCTCTTGTGTTCATACCTCTTTCTCAGCAGCCTAAAGCATACAAGAGCAGGTATTTTTAACTTTTTTTTTGTTGTTGTTAATTCTCACCTGAGGATATTTTTCCATTGATTTTTTTTTTTTAGAGAGAGTGGAAGGCAGGGGGAGAGACACAGAGAGAGAAACATCGATGTCAGAGAGACACATTGATTAGTTGCCTCCTGCACGTGCCCCAACCAGAGCCAGGGATTGAGCCTGCTATTGAGGTATGTACCCTTGGCTGGAATCGAACCCAGGAACCTTCAGTCTGCGGGCTGACAGACCCTTCAGTCTGTCCACTGAGCCAGACAGGCAAGGGCTTATCTCTCTTTTGACACAAGGAACCGAGGAGAGCCTGAGTGCTTTGCCTAACATTGGCCTAGTAAGTGGCTGAGTTGAGGCTAGACCAGCCGTGGGCAAACTATGGCCAGTTTGAAATGAATAAAACTAAAAAAAAAAAAAAAAAAAAAAAAGACCGTACTCTTTTATGTAATGATGTTTACTTTGAATTTATATTAGTTCACACAAACACTCCATCCATGCTTTTGTTCCCGCCCTCCGGTCAGTTTAAGAACCCATTGTGGCCCTCGAGTCAAAAAGTTTGCCCACCCCTGGGCTAGACCCTGGTCCCCTTGAATTGTAGTCCTATGCTCTTTCCAGGGATCTACTTAGCTTTCCCTTGTTTGACTTTGATGAGACTATCAGTTTTTTTACCCATCTCTTCACCCTCCCCTATTCTCATTGTTAAATTATATTTGTAAATTACATATAAGCAAAATGTGCCAGTGTAATCATTTTGCTGGGCTATTTTTATTTTATTTTTTTTAGAGAGGAAGAGAGAGAGAGAGAGAGAGAGAGAGAGAGAGAGAGAGAAGAAACAGAAACATTGATGTGAGAGAGAGATATTATTTTTTTATTTTTATTTTAAAATATATTTTATTGATTTTTTTACAGAGAGAAAGGGAGAGAGATAGAGAGCTAGAAACATCGATGAGAGAGAAACATCGATCAGCTGCCTCCTGCACACCCCCCACCGGGGATGTGCCCGCAACCCAGGTACATGCCCTTGACCGGAATCGAACCTGGGACCTTTCAGTCCGCAGGCCGACACTCTATCCACTGAGCCAAACTGGTTTCGGCGAGAGAGATATATTAATCTATTGCCTGTCCTATGTGCCCTGACTGGGAATTGAACCTGGGACCTTGCAGTGCATGGACAATGCTCCAACCAACTGAGCCATTCAGGCCAGGGTTTGCTGGGCTATTTCTTAGTGAAGTGTGAAACATTTCATTTTCCTGCTTTATTTAGTTAGTTGAGCAGATATTTTAAAAAAATCATGGCTAGTTAGTAGTAACTATGTATGGTGCCAGTTGGATACTGGAAATATCAGGGGAATACTTTGTAAAGTGCATGTTTGTCTAACCACTATGCTATACACTTGAAACTAATATAAAATAATATTGCATGTTAACTCTAATTGAAAATATTTTTAAAAAATCATGGCCAGGCCGTAGCCGGCTTGGCTCAGTGGATAGAGCATCAGCCTGCGGACTAAAGGGTCCCAGGTTCGATTCCAGCTAAGGGCACATGCCTGGGTTGCGGGCTCGTTCCCCAGTGGGGGGTGTGCAGGAGGCAGCCAATCAATGATTCTCTCTCATCATTGATGTTTCTATCTCTCTCCTCCCTTCCTCTCTGAAATCAATTTATTTTAAAAAAATAAGTTAAAAATCATGGCCAGTTGTAGAGCAGAGAAGTATTGAGATATATTAAAAAGGTTAAAGAAAAACACAATAAGGAAAAATTCTTAGGGAGAAAGATAAGGTAAGTGTTATGTGGGAGAAAATCAAAGAGATGTAGGTAGAGCTAGAATCTAACCATGTTGCTTTGCAGTATCATTTTCTTACTGACTTCCAGATTCCCTCTTTCCCCAGACCCTTGAGATAAGTTGCACCTTTCTCTATTGCTGAATCTCTCTCTGCCCATAATGATTACTTTCACTGAGTTACTGGGTACCTGCAAGTGAAACATCTCATTTATCTCTTCTCCATGTCAGAATTCCTTTCTTTTTTTCCTCCCATTTTCTCTTTTTCCCTCATTTCCATTTGCTGCAAAGTAAATGATAAGGGGGAAGGGAAAAGGAACGAACCAGTTGCATTTCTTAGGGATAAAAGGAAAAGCTTGTGTGTTCTCAATTGTCATTTCTCTTTTTTTATAGTTGGAAGTGCGTGAAGACCCCAGCAGCAATAAGGATCTGAAAGTTCAGTGTGATGAAGAAGAACTCAGGATTTACCAGTTAAACATTCAGATCCGGGAAGTTTTTGCAAATCGTTTCACTCAGATGTTTGCAGATTATGAGGTGTTTGTCATTCAGCCCAGCCAGGATAAGGAGTCCTGGTTTAATAACAGGGAACAGATGCAAAACTTTGATAAAGTGAGTGTAATTTGCTGGGGAGGAGGGTGAGGAATGAAGATTTAACTGATAATGAGTTTTTCTTTCATAATACAGATGACCCTTGAACAATGTGGGGGTTAGGGGTGTCAATCTCCTTCATAGTCAGAAATTTGCCTATAGCTTTTGACTCCTCCAAAACTCCAGATGTCCTTTGGTATCTGTTGGTGCTTGATTCCGGGACCCCATGGATACCAAAATTTGCAGATGCTCAAGTTCCATTTTTATTTTTATTTACTTATTTTAAAATATTTTTATTGATTTCAGAGAGGAAGAGAGAGATAGAAACATCCAATGATGAGAGAGAATCATTGATTGGCTGCCTCCTGCATGCCCCACAACTGGGGAGGGGATCGAACCCACAATCCAGGCATGTGCCCTGACCGGGAATCGAACCATAACCTCCTGGTACATAGGTGACGCTCAACCACTGAGCCATGCCGGCCAGTTTAAAAATGATTTAGAAAAAGGCATACTGTCAGCCCACCACATCCATGGATTCCCAACAGTATTTTCGATCTGCAGTTGTTTAACTCCACAAATGCAAAATCTAGGGATACGGATGGAGGGCCAATTGTATGTTTATTGAAAAATATATATGTATAAATGGACCTGTGCAGTTCAAACCTATGTTGTTCAAGATTAAATATGGGAAACAAGTTCATGATCCTTCTGGTGCTGATAAAATGCAAGGTCTTGTTGCTTTAGAACAGAGTGCTGGTTCTTACTATCAGGTGATTTACCTTCATTGTTTAAAAAAAAATGCTGAAGAGATTTTGCTATTGGCTTTTCATAAAGACCTAGGAAGCTTCAGAGAATTATCCCATTAGATCCTTTGGGTATGTTGCCTTTGCTGGTTAAAGGTGAGATACCCTTTTCCCTTTTTCCTCTTCTCTGTTGATGGATGACTGTCTGTTTCCTTGTCTCACCAGGCATCTTTTCTATCAGATCAGCCTGAGCCCTACTTGCCCTTTCTCTCAAGATTCCTGGAGACCCAGATGTTTGCTTCTTTCATTGACAATAAAATTATGTTTCATGATGATGATGATAAAGACCCTGTGCTCCGGGTGTTTGATTCCCGAGTAGATAAGATCAGACTGTTGAATGTTCGGACGCCTACTCTCCGCACATCCATGTACCAGAAGTGTACCACTGTGGATGAAGCAGGTGAGGCCTCCTTGTTGCTGTACTTCTAGCTTCTTGGATTATGTCACTAATGTGTCCCTGCTCCTAAACATGCCAGCTTCTTTCTGTTTCTGCTTTTGCTTAAGTTTTCCCCATAGCCTGAAAAGCTCTTTCCTTTTTTGCCTGGTTAGCTCTTTTCATCCTTTAACACTGTGTCAATTGGGAATGGGTCCTGCTGTAGGTAATAGAGAAGAGAATCTAATTAGCAGTGGGCTAGAAACATGAGATATGTTCCCCAGATTAGCAAGAAATGCAGAATTGGTGGTTGCTGGTGTTGGTTCAGCTGCTCGACAGTGTAATCAGGAACTGAGGTTCTGTCTTTACCCAGCTATCCTTAGTGTATCGACTTATATTCATGCTGGGAATTTTAAAAAATATGTTTTTATTCATTTTATTTTACTAGAGAGAGAGAGAGAGAGAGAGAGAGAGAGAGAGAGAGAGAGAGAGAGAGAGAGAGAAAGAGAAAGATCAATCAGCTTCCTCCTGCATGCCCCCTGCCTGCAACCTGAGCATGTGCCCTGACCAGGAATCAAACCTGCATCTTGGTGAATGGGACAGTGCTGAACCAATTGAGCCACACCGGCTTGGCCTACCAGAGGCTTTTTATGTTCATATTCAGGGTAAGAAGAGGGGAGGCTGCTATCAGCCAAAGCTTTCTGTTGTCTCATAGGCCAGAACCATGTTATGTGACTATACTTAAGTGCCAGAAAGACTGAAAGGGAGTAGTGAATTGGATGTAATGTTACCCTGAACAATGTCGGAGTTTTATTAGCAAGAAAGAAGGAGCAAATGAGTTATGAGTAAGCAGTTCATAGTGTTTGCCACAAAAACTTACCTGGTATGTCTCCTCTGTGAAGCCCTCTCTGATGCCCTCAGGCTGAGTTGGTGGATTCCTCCTCTATCCTGTGGTGCTTTGTTCTTACCTCCCCTCTGTAATCTCTGTTCTTTTGAGCTGTCATTACTAGGGAACAACTTAAGAGCAGAGACTGTATTTACTTATTTTCTTGCCCCAACTTCTAGCATTGTATTTATGACAGATGTTAAAAGTGGTTTGCTAACCCTCGCTGGTTTGGCTCAGTGGATAGAGCATCAGCCTGCTGACTGAAGGGTCCTGGGTTCAATTTCAGTTAAGGGTACATGCCAGGTTGTGGGCTCGATCCCCAGTAGGGGGCATGTAGGAGGCAGCTGATCAATTATTCTCTCTCATCATTGATGTTTCTCTCTCTCCTTCTCCCCCTCTCTGAAATCAGTAAAAATATATTTTTTAAAAAGTGGTTTGCTACATGCATGATTGAAAAGGCCTTTTTGTTCATAGACGTCCCATCTAGATGAGTATAGCTAGAGAATAGTCTCAGTTTGAGGTGCAGATTAAGTAGTTTGTTCACTTTCTTATAGGATGTTCAGTGTCCTTGTGGCTATTTTGTATATATTGTTCATTCATTTACTAAATATTATAAACTAGAGGCCCGGTGCATGAAATTCATGCAGGGAGGTGGGGATCCCTCAGCCCAGCCTGCCCCCTCTCACAGTCTGGGAGCCCTCAGTGGATGTCCTACTGACGGCTTAGACCCGCTCCTGGAGCAGGTCTATGCCACAGTCTGGCAGCAGAGGCTCAGAGCAGACACCGTGTGTATGTGTGTGTGTGTGTGTGTGTGTCCACTGGTGGCTGCCCCCAGCCGCTCCACAGAGGCTCGGAGCAGTTGCCTCGTGTGTGTGTGCGTATGTGTGTGTGTGTGTGTGTGAGTGTGTGTGTGTGTGTGTCCGCTGGGGGCCTGCCCCCAGCCACATCGGAGGCTCAGAGCAGTCGCCCCGTGTGTGTGTGTGTGTCCACTGGTGGCTGCCCCCAGCCACGCCACAGAGGCTCGGAGCAGGCACCCTCTGTGTGTGTGTGCGCACGCATGTGTGTGTGTCCACTAGGGGCCTGCCTCCAGCCGCACCATGTAGGCTCGGAGCAGTTGCCCCGTGTGTGGAGGCTTGGAGCAGGTGCCCCTGTGTTGATCTCTCAGGCTCCTGGCTATGCCTGCTGTTGTTCTCTTCCTTGAGTGGCGGCCAGGGCGGGCTGGAAGCTTGGCTTCCTCCATTGCTGGGGGCAACCCATGCCTCCAGCTCTGTGGCCGCTTGGCTTCTCCACTGCAGCCGCAGCCGAGAAGCCAAGCCTCTTCAGTCTTCAGTCTTCACTCAGGCCAGAGCCTTCAGTCTTTGCTCTGCTCCCGTGTATGCAAATTAACCGCCATCTCTGTTGGGTTAATTTGCATACACATCTGATTGGCTGGTGGGCATAGCAGAGTGACACCAATTTGCATGTTTCTCTTCTATTAGTGTAGATAGATACCCAGTACATGCTTAACATATGGTAAGTGCTCACAAATATATGTACTGAATGAATAAACATGTCAAGCATTTTTCTAGGTTTTAAACATATAGCTTTTTAAATTTATTTTTAATCTTCATCTGAGGATACACATTTTTCTAAGTTTTGAAGATACAACTGGTGACAGTTTGGACAAAGTCATGCCTTCATTTGCCTTCATTGAGTACATTCTCTAGCCTTCTATCTTTACCTTTCAGTTCTCAATTCAATTCTTTCATTAAGATGACAGCCCTCTTGGTTAAGGCTTTTATTGGGATAATTGTGTGGTTTTTTAGTCTTAGTTTGTTAATATGGCAATTTATTGATTTTTAAAGGTGTACTAGTAAACTAACCTTGCATTCTTGAGATAAAGTCTTTATGTGATTATGATTTTTTTTTTGTATATTGTTGAATTCAATTTACTACAGTTTTGTTCAGAATTTTTGCATCTATGCTCATGAAGGATATCAGCTCATAGTTTGTTTGTAATACCTTGTCTGATTTGGTGTCACTATAATGTTGGCCTGAAAGAAAAGTTAGGAAGTATTCTCTCCTCTTCAGTTTCCGAGAAGAGCTTGTTACTACTTTTTCTTTAGATGTTTGGCAGAATTCATCAGTGAAGCCCTCTGGGCTTGGAGGTTTTTTTTGTTGTTGCTGTTTTTTTGTGTGAGAAGATTTTAAACTATAGATTCATTTTAAAAAATAGGGCTATTCGGATGAGCTATTTCTTCTTGAGTGAGCTTTGGCTGTTTGCATCCTTCAAGGAATTTGTCCCTTTCACCTGTTGTCAAATTTGTTGGCATTAAGTTTTTTTTATAGTATGTCCTGTATTAATATCTGTAGAGTCTGTCACTTCTCTCATTACTGATTTTGGTAATTTGTGTTTTTTTACTTTCTATTTTTATCAGTCTGATTAGAAATTTATTAGTTTTACTGATCTTCTGAAAGGACAGTTTTTGGATTTATTAATTTGTTTATTTCATTGATTTCACTCTGGCCTTTATTATTTCCTTTCTTGTACTTTGAATTTAATTTGCTAGTCTTTTTTCTAGTTTTTATAAGGTGAAAGCCACGGTCATTAATTTGAGACCTTTCTTCTTTTTTCTAAGATAGGCATTTAGTGCCATAAATTTTCTTTCAAGTAATAATGACATACTACAAATTCTTATATTTTGTGTTCTTATTTTTATTCAGTTCTTATTTCCCTTTTGATTTTTTTGATGGTGGGTTATTTGGAAGTGTGTTATTCAGTTTTAAGATGTTCTTAATGATTATTGTAGTCAGAGGACATATTTTGTATTCAAATTGTTTTAAATTTATTGAGTGTTATATGGCCCAGAATATGGTATATTTTTTAAAAGTTTGAATTTTTTTTTCTTATCCAGAGAAAGCAATTGAGCTGCGTCTGGCAAAAATAGACCATACTGCGGTTCACCCCCATTTACTTGATATGAAGATTGGACAAGGGAAGTATGAACCAGGTTTCTTCCCAAAGTTGCAGTCTGATGTGCTTTCCATTGGGCCTGCCAGCAACAAGTGAGTCAACCCCGGGATTCCCTGATTCAGCTCCCTAACCATCCAGTATCTGGGCCTGAGCTGGTAGAAGACCCCTGAATTTTATAAAGCAAATATGGAGAAGACCAAAACTCTCCAGGTTTTTCACTTTTTGAACAAGAAAATGGGTGACAGAGTATATGCCCAGGATCTGCAAAAAGCCAGGCTGCAGATGGGTTGAAATGATCTCATGACTAAATCCCATACAACATGTAACTGGCATTTTATCTCCAGTAAGTGGTAGTTGAAATGGAGTCTGAACTGGAAGTAGGTAACTTAGCAGGATTACTGGTCTTTAGTTATGTTTGGAGATGAATATAACAAAGCTCAGACAGAGCTGAGTATAGTTTGGATCTGCATGTGAACTTGATGTAAATGTTTGAAGAGAGATATGTCTGTGTTCCTTGGGGAGTTATTCTTCTTGCCCACTCACTGATCTTTAAGCTGCTCTTCCCCAAGCTCTCTGAGCTATCTCTGGTGACTCTTTGGTGGTTTTCTGTGCCCAGAACTGGTCCCTAGACATTCCAGTTTTTTTCTGTCAGTTGACCTTACTTTTATTTTAAAAAGAATTTTGTTGTTGTTAATCCTCACCAGAGGCTATTTTTTCCATTGATCTTTAGAGAGAGTGGAAGAGAGGGAGGTGTAAGAGAGACACATTGATTGGTTGCCTCCCACACACGCCCCAACTGGGCTGGGAATTGAACCCACACCCTTTAGTGCAAGCATATCAAACTCGCAGCCCAGCCAATATAACGGTATATAACTTAATTTTTACAATATCCTGTTATACATAATTATTAATAACTAGTGGCCCGGTGCCCGGATTCATGCACATTGAAAGGAAATTAATTAGAAGAAATATTTTAATATCACTATTCACCCTTTCTCTGTAATAGAAGTGTCAGAGATGAAAGAAAATTAGTAAAATGTATATGAAAATAATATATAAATTGATTAACAAATAAACAATAACAACATGCTATAACAACAAAGACATGATATAAAAACAACAAAAACATGATAAAAAACATTGATAAAAGCAATGACTGATAAATTGATTAAACTTTTTCTAATATCTCCCTGTATGCCACATTAGGAGTAAAAACACTTTCAGAGTGCTTGACTAATTTCCCTTGTGATGAAGTATTTACAACTTTAACTTTAACGTTACATGCTCTTCGAACTCAAAAGAAAACAGCATATAACTGACTGTGTCCAAAAACGGGTTTAGGTAGGAATATTCCTACACTGTCTAGAGTTTGTCCTTGTGATTTATTAATAGTCATTGCAGATGCTGGCATCACGGGAAACTGTCTTCAAATTAACCAAATTCAGGATCAACAATGACAGATTGAAACATGTGTGCTGTTGGCACCAGCGAGAGCTTTATATGTATCAAGCATGCATGAGTCAATGTTTATTTTTAAATTGCCAGTGCATGTCATATGCACCCGCCGGTCAGACAGATGTATGGTCGGCCACTTAGCCTTTTATATATATAAATGAACTACAACGTTTGCTAATGACTGATTACTATAATTGTGTTGCATTCATTTCCCTTACGTGCCTTACACACAGGTACACCATTTCTCTCCATTAATATTAGCAGTGAATATTTTATTTTATTATTTTTTTAAAAATATATTTTATTGATATTTTATAGAGAGGAAGGGTGAGGGATAGAGAGTTAGAAACATTGATGAGAGAGAAACATCGATCAGCTGCCTCCTGCATACCCCCCACTGGGGATGTGCCCGCAACCAAGGTACATGCCCTTGACTAGAATTGAACCTGGGACCCTTCAGTCCGCAGGCTGACGCTCTATCCACTGAGCCAAACCGGCTAAGGCAGCAGTGAATATTTTAGCAGCCGATTGCCACGTCATTAGTCTTGTACTGACTTGTTTGGTGTGCGCAGCAGGAGATATTTTGCTTTCAGAGAACAAGAAAAATAGGTTTATTTGCGTTATGCTTATTAATTTGTGCAGTTATTCAATGTCTGGTAAGTTAATGTTCAAGAAAAAATATTAATTTTTATTAAAATGTTCTATTTTACAACAATTATTTATTTCAGCCCTTTGTATTCAGCATGTCTCTATCAAAATAAACCTATGTTTCTATGAAAATTGAAGCTTTTTTTTTTTTGCGGCCACATAAACTTTAAACCTTGTTTATTTGGTCTGTGTTAGCCTTTGAGTTTGACATGCTTGTTTTATGGGGCCACATAAACTTTAAACCTTGTTTTATGGCCCGTGTTAGCCTTTGAGTTCGGCATGGGGAATATGTGGGCCAGCACTCTAACCACTGAGCCACCGTCCAGGGCTGACCTTACTTTTTACTGGGATATTGTTAATTCCCTGTTTTGATTCTTTTAGATGGACAAAAAGGAATGCCCCTGCCCAGTGGAGGCGGAAAGATCGGCAGAAGCAGCACACAGAACACCTGCGTTTAGACAATGACCAGAGAGAGGTAGGCCACCTTATGATTGACAAGAAATGGGCCTATTATCATGCTACATTCTCTTTCTCTTTTCCTATTTTTTTGACCTCTGGTCTGATTCAAGTGTCTTAACAGTACAGTGACCACCGAACCAAGAAGGTTATTTGAGGCCAAAAAACAAAGCAGCCACCCCTATAGAACATCCAGCCTTCAGGCTGTATAAGACCAATGAGATCATTTGGTCTGGCCCTGTCAAGGCATTAGGGGTGAGTTAATTACATGTTTGACCAAATATAGCAGCTAAGTTTTAAGTGGATAATTTTGGATGGCCTGAGAATGATGTTATAAATATCCAAATGGCCCTTGGCAGATAAAAAGTTCCCACCCCTACTATAGATTATAATGGGATTTGTTGTAGGGAAGTTACTTACAGGGATGGGGTCTAAGCAGAGATTGTCTGTGCAGACTGTTGGGGTCGCCTCTACTCCACATTTAGAGACTTCTCCCCGTAAAGAAGGGTTAATAGTAGAGTAGTTCCTGATACCTGATACTGGGCCTAGGTTAGGACAAATCTAGGATGTATGATGTTTTGCACATGACAGCTAGCCACTAACCATGTAGGTCCTCTCTCTGTGCCAGGCCCTGTTTGCAGCCAACTCAGGAATGATGGCAGTCTTAGAAGAGAGCCTTTCACTGTCCTTTCAGGACTCCTCATACATCATACTCCTGGGGGAGTGTGACAGAACCTCAGGAGATGAGAGCCCGAGACTTGGGAGAAATCCTTTTAAAGTTTGTGAGGCTTCTTTTGTGTGTGGTATGGTAGTGAAGAATTAATTTTGTTAGAATTAGAAGGAAGAAAAGCTGAACTTGGGTTAATGCTGTCAATATCTGAACCTGGGAGGAGGGAGTACTTTCCCCCTATTTTTTATGTATCGTAATTTAAAACAGATAATCTTGACTTTTTTTTCTTTGAGGAGCAAACGAGAGGAATGTTATCTTCAGGTGCCTGGGGTGTTGAGGCTTCTTGAATTGACCTCCTGAGTCCTCATTGCTTATAGGCTGAGTTTTCAGCTCTACTATAACTTGTTCCCAGTAAAGCTTTTAGTTATAAAACTCAAGTTGGAAACCCTGCCTGCCTGACTCAGTTGCAGAGAAGTTGTGAAAATGGGAATTTAACCTTCAGAAACCTGTTTCAGGAACTTCTCTTTGAGAAAATACCTTGCAAATTGTGTTATCTATATATATAAAAGCCTAAGTGACTGAACAACCAACATGCACTGACCACCAGGGGACAGACGCTCAACGCAGGAGCTTCCCTCTGGTGGTCAGTGCACTCATACAGCCAACCTCTCGTGGCCAGCCAACTTCCCTCAGTCCCTCCCCCTGGGCCAGCCAGCCAGACCCGATGGCCTCAATTGAGGCAGGCCGGCCAACCCATCTCCTGCAATCCCTCACCCCCCCCCCCCCCCACCAGCTGGCCCTGATCAGCCCCAATCAGGGCGGGCCAGCCCAATCAGCCCCGATCACCAGCCAGGCCAAGAGACCCCACCTGTGCACGAATTTGTGCACTGGGCCTCTAGTATACATATAAAACCCAATAAAGCATATTGTTTTCATATGTGTTTGGCACCTCAGTGAATGGGAAAATTGCATGTTTTGCCTTTGCTATATTTTAAAGGAATATATTAAAATCACAAGGTATGGTTATAAATTTTTAACTGCTGCTTTATAGGATACAGTTGTGCTTAGAGTTCTGCGAGTGTGCTGTAAGGGGTGTTGGGTATTGGTGTTATTTTTAAAGTCTCCCCTGGGTTTTCCACCTCACCTCCTGATTACTTCTTTCAGCAGTATTTATTGAGCACATTTTCTTGGTCAAAATCACTGTCGTAAGCACTTTGAAATATAAAGATGACAAGACGTTAGCCTTGTCCTCAGGGACTACCAGTTTATTAAGGGAGCAAAGTCAGGTACACAAATAACTTTAGTAGAAGAGTCTGGTTAAAGGGTCATATAAGAGGCAAGCCAGTGTGTGATCACTGATTAGAGAAAGCAGATGTCAGTTCTACCTGGGGTAGTCATCAAACAAAACTTTTTGGTGGAGTCAAAATCTGTTTGAGGCCTTGGAGGATGATAGGATTGTTATAGAGACAAAGAAAAATATTTTAAGTAGAGGAAATACAGGACCAAAAGCTTGGTGGTTGTTATGTAATGAAGACTGGCAGAATGTTTGGAGGAAGGAGGTATTAGAAGTGGCTACATAGCTAGCAAGTTAGGAGGCAGGTAGCAGTAGTCCAGGTAGTAATTGAAGCCTAACCTTGGGGATTGGTAGTAAGGGCATATTGAGGGGCCAGACAGAAATGTTCTACTGGGATAAATATGGGGGAAGAAGGAAGCCTGGGGTAAAAGTGTTTGTTGTGACCTGGAATACTGAGAGGATGTCAGTGTGCAGTTCTCTGCATTTATATGCATTCTGTGTTAAAACAAACAGCATGTGGAGAATCACCAACACTTTGCAGAAAATACAGTTGTTGTTTTGTGCAAGGTTGTTATACTTTATGATGAAAACAGTAGTTATCTTTGATATGGGCAGAAGAGTTAAATTCCTCCCAGCTTAGGTAAAATGATTTTTTTCAGTAATACTCTGAGATTTGGGTTGACAAACTGATCTATACAAGCTGCAGCTATGTTTTTTTTGTATCTTTAAAGAAAAGGTAATTACAGCAGTTACGAAGTGCTTTACATCAGAGAAAACAGAATTCATATTTTCTCAGGTTTTCCCTTTTATATAGAATTGCATTTGGAAAAAAATCTTTGATTGCTTTTAAAGAGAGAGAGAGAAACACCTATTTGTTGTTCCACTTATTTATGCATGCATTGGTTGATTCTTGTATATGTGCCCTGACCGGGTATTGAACCTGCAACCTTGGGGTATAGGGACAATGCTGTAACCAGCTGAACTACCCAGCCAGGGCTACAGAGTTACATTTTAAACTTTCTGCCCCAACTTTATCTGAGCCTTGGAAAGAAGCAGTAAGAAAGCGCTGGGTGGTAGTGCCCTCTTCAGGCACTCACCAGTACTGGTCGCCTATCTTGTGTGCATGGATAGAGTCTTTGTTTTTCTGTTTGCTGTAGAAGTACATCCAAGAAGCCAGGAATATGGGCAGCACCATCCGCCAGCCCAAACTGTCCAACCTCTCCCCGTCAGTGATTGCCCAAACCAACTGGAAGTTTGTAGAGGGCCTACTGAAGGAATGCCGCAACAAGGTGAGCTGTGGACGCCTCTGTGTGTGTGCTATTTCCCTTGGCAGCCAAGGTGAGACCAAGGCTTGGCTCTGACTGTTCTTTCTTGGTTTTAAAAATATTGTTAATATAATGGGATAGTATGAATTTTAAGATCCTGTTAACTTGGAATTAGGCATATTGTTTTTTCTTTTTTTCTCATCTTTAAAAAAATTTTTTTTTGTTGATTTCAGAGAGGAAGCAAGAGGGAGAGAAAAACATCAACGATGAGAGAGAATCATTGATCGGCTGCCTCCTGCACGCCCCACACTGGGGATGGAGCCCACAACCCAGGCATGTGCCCTGACCAGGAATTGAACCCTAACCTCCTGGTTCATAGGTTGATAATCACTGAGCCACACTGGCTGGGCGGCATATTTGTTTTACATAAAATAAACCATTAATCAAGATCAAGCACAGTTTGTTGATAAAATATGTATTCTTTAAAACTGAGAGATACAGTTTTAATTTTAGACATCTAACGTTTTTTGAAATCATTGTAGTTGAATTGTCTTCAGCAGATTAGTCTTACACACATGAAAATGTTGCCTCTATTTTAATTTGATAGCAATGATTTCATATGTCTAGACACAAGAATTTATGAATGCCTACTATGTGCCAGGCCAAAGAGTGTTATTCAGTTTAAGCTGTTATGGGGTGTTTTTCTCAATTCTACAAAGACAGTCATTTTAAAAAAAACTTTACTGAGAATTGATATACAAAAAATTGCACACATTTAATGTATGTATCTTCGGATATACACATGCACCCGTGATACTATTACTATGATCAAGGTGCTAAATATATCGATTTCTTCCCAAAATTTTATGTTCTTTTGTGGTTTTCACTTGTTTGTTTTTTTGTGATAAGAACACAATATGATATCTATTCTCTTAACATATTTTAAAATGCATAATACTGTTGTTAATTATAGGTACTATGTTGTATAACAGATCTCTAGAACTTACTCATCTGCATACTGAAACTTCATATCTATCCAGCAACAATTTTACTCCCCACAACCCCTGGTAACCACTATTCTATTTCCTGCTTCTGTGAGTCTGACTATTTTAGATACCCCATATAAGTGCAGTATTTGTGCACTTGAAGTTTTGTTTAATGAGATCAGTTAAGCAGTGAGAATCAGAATGTATGAAGTGAGCATGACCAGAGGGTTTTATTCAACTCTTTTTATCTCATAAATGTAAAAACTGAATCCAGAGTGATGAAATCACTTGTTCAGGGTCATTCAGTAATTGCTATGTTCTTATCTTTTAACTAAACTTTTAAAGAATACGTTTCATCATGACCTGACCTATATCTGTATGGTGGAGAAGAAATATACTCTATGTATCTGGGTTTCACTTATCTTGTCCCTCCCAGCTCAACAGATGTGCAGGTGGCCACAACCCTCTCCAGTTGCATGTGACCTTGTTCACTGTGGTTGTCTAATCCTACTGACTGATTCCTTGTAGACCAAGAGAATGCTGGTGGAGAAGATGGGCCGAGAGGCTGTGGAGCTAGGCCACGGAGAGGTCAACATCACAGGGGTGGAAGAGAACACCTTGATTGCCAGCCTTTGTGACCTCTTGGAAAGGATCTGGAGCCATGGACTTCAAGTAAAACAGGTAATGAATGTAGAGCCCTTTCTGCTGTGCAAACTATCTTCTTGTTTTCACTTACTAGCTTTCCCATACTCTTCCAGCTGGCTGGCTTTGGAGAATGGTACATAGTATGCATGGAGTGAGATTAGAAATAGGTAAACAAACAATTAAATAGGATCTAAACTATTTTGTTTAAAAATAAACTTCATAAATCTGTGTGTTTGTCAGACATTTTAAAAGTGGTGCTTCTGTCCTGCAAATAGAGCTTAAGGCCATACTGATAGATCCTGTTTGGCAGCTGGCCCTAGAGATAGAGCATAGAGAAAGAGGGGACGTGAGGCTCAGAAGTACCAAACATACTAGTACCCTGAGTCCTTCATTAGCTGTACATTCCCAGTGGATAAAGGTCTGTCATTAACATTTCGTTTACATGTGGATAGCTTAGCTATCTAAAGATCTGAGAGAGGTTGAGTAAGTTTGATTTTTACTGCTTAATACCCAGAGAATGTTCTTATTTGAAAATACTCTAATTTGAAAAGTCAAGATGGACAACTTTTACTTTTATGCATTTTTTAATTTGAAAAGAACTTGAAACATTATCAGAAGCAATTTTATTTTGGACAAATTAGAAACTATATATAAGTATCCAGCAAATATTTATTGAGGGCTTACAGTATTCCAGGAACTATTGTAGGCACTTGAGATAACCTTAGTAAACAAAACAGATCAAGATGCCCTAGCTGGTTTGGCTCCGTGGATAAGAGTGTCGGCCTGCGGACTGAAGGGTTCGATTCTGCTCCAGGGCCAATACATGGGTTACAGACCCAGTCCCCAGAAGGGGGTGTGCAGGAGGCAGCCGATGAAGGAATCTCTCTCATCATTGATGTTTCTATTTCAACAAAAACAAAAACAACAACAAAAACAGACCAGTATCTCTGCCCTTCTGGAGTTTCCATTCTCATGGTTTGGAGGCAGGCTACCACATGTGCCCTTCAAAACATTTTTTTGTGCACATACTAGTATACCCATATACAGGTGTGTATTAAAAAAATCCAGCAATATCACAATGAATTAATTTTTCACACCCACTAGGATAACTAAAACAAAAAAAGATAAAGTGTTAGGATTTGGAGAAATTAGAACCTTCATAACATTGCTGGTGGAATGTAAAATGGTACAGCTACTTTGGAAAATTGTCTGGCAGTTCCTCAAAATGTTAACCATAGTGTTGTGACCCAGTAAGTCCACTTCTAGCTATGTATTCAAGAGAAATGGGAACATGTCTACATAAAAACATGTACACACTGTTCATAGCAGCATTATTCCAAATAGGCCCAACGTGGAAAATCCCAAATGTCCATCAGCTGATGAATACATAAACTAAATGTGTGTGGCCTATCCATATAATGGAATATTATTTAATAAGAATAAATTATGGATACATAGCACAACATCGATGAGCTGTGAAAACATACTAAATGAAAGAAGCAGTCACAAAAGACCACATATTGTATGACCCATTTAGGCAAATCCATAGACAGAAAGATTAAAAGATGCCAGAGGTGGGAGGGAGGGAGGACTGGGAGTGACTGCTAATGGATATGGGGTTTCTGTTTGGGGTGATGAAAATGTTCTAAAATTAAGTAGTGTTGATGGTTGCGCAACTCTTTGAATATATTAGAAACCAGATTTTTTGTGTGTGCAGAAAATTATATACTTTATAAGTATGAATTTTATGGTAATATGAATTATATCTTGATAAAGCTGTTTAAAAAATCCAATTGGATTATACTGTACATAATGTTTTATAACTTGCTTTTTTTCCCCTCATTATTTTTTCCATGTCCTTAACTAATTTTTAGATGATATTACAGTATTTAAGAGCTCAGACTATAAATCAGATAGACTTGGGTTTGATTCCCACTTAATAATTTTATGAAACTGAGCAAGGTACCTAGCTTTTCTAAGTTTCTGTTTCCTCATATGTATGATGGAATTTTAAAAGTACCCACCTCCATAGGATTCTTGTGAGGATTTGATAATTCATGTAAAGCACTAAGCTCAAAGCCTGGTATCTGGGAGATTCTTAGTAAATATTTGTGGTTATTCTTCTTCTAAAATCTCAGTTTTAATTAATGTATTATTGTATAGATGTGCCATACTTGAATCAATCCCTTATCATTGGTCATTTAGGTTATTTTGATTTGTCAGTATTGTAAACAACATCGCGATTACAGATTTTTTAAAAATGTTAAAGATTGTGTGTCACATTCCTACAATTTTGAGAGTGCTGTTGTGTAATAGCAACACTATGAGCTTTGGAGTCAGAAAGACGGATTTGAATCTTAGCTCCACTGGGTGACTTCTAGTGATTTGCAGTTTTTGACAGTAATTTTCCTTGTCCAAAATACAGAATTAATAAAACCTACCTTTCAGGGTTGTTATGATAATTAGATGTAATAAAAATAAGTACCTGGCATGTGGTGGGTATGTAACATATGACAGCTATGATTATGCTAGGTTCTACATGAAGGATTTCTGTTTCTTTCCTTTTCTTTATTTTTTAAAAATATGTTTTTACTGATTTTAGAGAGAGGAAGGGAGAGAGAAACATTGATGTGAGAAAAAAAACTTTGATATGAGAGAGAAGCATTGATCGGTTGCCTCCGTATGCACCCTGACCCATGACCAAACCCACAACCTGGGTATGTTGCCCTACTGGGAATCGAACCGGCAACCTTTTGGTGTGTATGATGATGCTCAAGCAACTGAGCACACTGACCAGGGCTCTTTCCTTTTCTTTGTAAACAAATAAGTAAAATATACATAATTATTCTATCGTTTTTCTGAAAGTTTAGCAAGCCTGACACTATGGTTAAGTAAGCTCTTTGAGCTTTTTGATAAAACATGCCCTCAAAACTTTTTAATATTTGCCATAAAAATCTTAAGGCATTTAAAAAAAATAACCTTATCATCACATGTTCTAAACCTGTCCTCTGAAGCTTGGCAACATATTCTACAAGAGATTATGGGGATTTCTTTTGGGATTCATTTGATCCCTCTCTCAGTTTGGGTAGACAGAGGCTACTTATTTGGTGCGAAACCAGTACAACATAAATGGGGGCTTTTTTGTTCAGGTTCTGTTTTCTGAGTTCTGCTTTTGGGTCATTAAAGTGTCACTGGAGGGAAGTGAGGGCCTGTGCCTGTGGCAGGGCAATTATGCCCTGAGGGACACATGTTCACTGGAGAGTGACCCTGACTATCTCTGTTGGGCTCCTACAGCATGCTCCTTAGATCTCCATTTTCGTGGTCTGTGTGTAGAGCACCTTTCTTCTGCTGAGACAGTCCTCAGTGATGTTCCAATCCAAAGGTTATACCTGGTTACCTGGTCTCCTCCATCATGCAGACTGTGCATGATCATGCACAGATTGTGACCAAATTCACTCTCAGAGGACTATCTTATCTCTTCCTGGAGGCACCTTACTGACCAACTGCCTATTTTATCTACTTATAAAGTAGGGAGAACCAACCGGCAGTTTTTACTGCTAGCTTCCTAAATTTTGTTATCAGCCGTGTTGGTCTGCATGGAAGGCTGTCTGCAGCAAATCCTCACCACTCTCTTTCACTTTCGATGACATATTCCAAGGAAATAGGTATCCTGCTCTAGGATATTTATCTGACAGTAAGAGGTGAGGTTTGATTTTTCATAATAGTTTTATAATTACTGTCATTTGGGGACTGGTAAGTGAAAAGGGGTTGTTTCTAACCCTTTATGCATTGACATTCTTGGAGAATCTGGTACTATCTATGTGTCATGTGGCCACATCCCTGAATGGGTAGTCAGACTATATTGAACCTTGCAGTCTCTATCAGTCCTTTTGCAAAAGAGGAAAAAGAGTAATTCATGTCTTTTGCACTAGAAAGACCCCAGTGCCCTCTTACTAAGCTTCAGCTACTCTCTCACTTTTTGCCTTGCCCTCCCTCCTTGACTAGTATAATCACTGTGAGCCCGGGCATCCTTCTGGCACAGTGGCCTGGTGTTGCTCTTGCCCTTGGTTCTTCAGCAGCATGGCATGTGAGGGCTCTCAGGTGACCAGCTATATTTAGTTTGTATCACATCCACACAGTCCTGTAAGGGAGGCTGTCTTCCAAGTCAGTCTAGATGCTAGGACTATAGTGATGAGTAAGTCAAAGTCCCTGCCCTTTTAGGAGCCTACTCTAATGGTTTTGATAAATGAATGGATGAATGGATTTCTAGAAGTTGAATTACTATCTCAAAGAGCATGGCTATTTTAAGCTTTTGTATTCTACATATATTCTATTAATATAACAGTAACAGTGTATGGGAGCTGTAAGTCTCATTGATTTTTGTTGAACCTCTATTTTTTCAAAGTTTTGGTATTTCAATGAATAAAAAAAATGGCCTTCTGTAGTTTTAATGTGTATGTTTGTGTGTTTGTGTGTGTGTTTTTTTAAAATCGCCATTGAAGTTGGGTTTTGTTTTAAGCTGGTTAAATCTTGTAGGAAATCCAAATATACAGCAAACATATGATAACAGCTTGCTGATCCATTGATGAGGGTTTTCTCTCATTCAGATGCTTTATTCCCCCCTCCCCCCAAATAGATCAAAGTGATGGGTAGAAACAAAATAGGTTATTGATATTTTCAAGGGAAAAATCTTGAGACCTTAAAGTTTCACATTTATCCCAGAGCATAAAATTTTCTTCAGAAGGTATAACTTCAAAGGTAAATGATCCCTTTCAGAAGCAGTCTGCCTAGCGTCATTATTAAGAGTAGTGGTTACCTGACTTAAGCTTGAATTTCAACACTCTACTTACTAGCTGTGTGATCTCTTACAATCTTTCTGATCCCCAATTTGCTCTTTTCTAAAGAAAATGAGGATAGGGGTACCTACCTTATAGGATTTTGGGGAGCATTAAATAAAATGTTATATTTTAAACATTTAACATAGTTTATAGCACACCTCAAGCAAGACATGGTAGCTTCTGTCATTATTATTACTTTCATAAAATGCAGAACTAAAGTTATTTATAAAACTTATAATAAATTCTACTACTAAAACAAACATTATGTTACATTATATTGTATCAACTGTATAGGAACATTCACCATGAATCTGAAATAAAGGTTTTATCACATAATGAGAGTCTCTGTGTACTGAAGGATGACTGGGAAGAGACAAAGCAGTTGCTGGGGGGCTAGCTGGGCTCATTCACTGCATAGGCAAATTGCTCCCTTACATCAGGATTGCAAGTGCTATTCATATTTGTGTCTTATTGAAATGACTAATTATGCCCTAGCCCAGTGGTTAGCAAACTGCGGTTCGCGAGCCACATGCGACTCTTTGGCCCCTTGGGTGTGGCCATGAAGTTTCAATTGCACTGTACGTGCGCGCCCGTATGTGGTATTTGCAGTTTGCCGAACACTGCCCTAGCCCATAGTGTGGCCCAGAGCTGTCAGCACTTGGAGCCCTGGAGGGGAAAGAAGGGATGAGAGCGGGTTTAACTCAGTGGATAGAGCGTTGGCCTGGGGACTAAAAGGTCCTAGGTTCTATTCTGGTCAAGGGCACAAGCCTGGGTTGCGGGCTTGATCCCCGGTAGGGGGCATGCGGGTAAACAGCCAATCAATTATTCTCATCATTGATGTTTTTATCTCTATCTCTCTCTACCTTCCTCTCTGAAACCAATAAAGATATATAAAATAAAATAAAATGACTAATTACTACATGACTCAAACACAGGGTGGGACAAAAGTAGGTTTGCAGTTGTTCATATGGGAAATAATACAATAATTAACAAATAATAATAGAATAAGAAACTGTGTTTTGTGTACTCACAACTGTAAACTTACTTTTGCCCCACCCCATAATTTCAACTGCAAATGCCAAGGTTCTCTTATGCTGACTGCAATATCTCAGCTTTGCAGTAGAGTAACAGCCTACCTTCCTGCAGGCTTCTTCCACTGTACCTTCAATAGTAAATCCTCCTCTTAGTGATGATTTATTCTCCCCAGCCTGCACTAAGGGCAGGAATGTCAGTATTTTAGGAAATTCAGGAGCTGTCTTACAATCTTGTAGACTGGATATCAGCTTCTCTATGCAAAACTCATACTCTACCTAAGCTGACCTTCAACTAGCAAACCATTTAGAGGTTATTTGACTTTTTCTCATCCACTGGTTCATTCACAACTCTTTCTGACCATGACCTCCTCCTTCCCAGTGGGGACCTTTTTTCTTTTCTGTTTCTTATGTTTCTCCAGGATTTTAGTAGCAGGGTATATGTGTATACATTGCATCTGGTGTACACTGAGGTAAGAAATAGTACAGCAAGTCCTCACTTAACGTTGTTGATAGATTCTGAGACTTTAAGTTAAATGATGTACAACGAAACCAGTTTTACCATAGGCCAATTTATATAAACAAGAGTTAAGTTTCTATGACATCTCATCAACATTACAACAAAATAACATTGAATGAAATGTTATTTGAGGACTTGCTGTACAGGTACTTTTTATCAAAAGCTGGAATCTGTATGTTTAAATTATCTCTGTCTCTGTCCACTGGATGCCTTGGCCTCTGAAATCTAAACTGATAGATATTTTCCCCTTGTGTTGGTTCCAGGGGAAATCAGCCTTGTGGTCTCACCTGTTACATTATCAGGAAAACCGACAGAGAAAGCTCACATCCGGAAGCCTCAGTACCTCAGGTAAGACTGTCTCCGCTTCATTGGAGAGAACGCCCTCCACCCACATTCCATCCCCCACTGGAGAGAACAGCAGGAGTGATTCAGGCCACTGAAGCCTTTGGTCTGTGATGTTTTCTTCTTTACATATTAAGCCCCCGGGTCCTTTGAACCACAGAGCATGCCATAGCCATGGAGTTTGCTTTCATTATGTACTCTTTTGATCAGTGAAATAGAAGACATATCAGCAAGGCATGTCTCATTAGAATGAGTTTAAGTTTTAAATGAATTTGGGTGGTACTAATGTCTTGTGTTTGGAGCAGACTGTTTTCAGAGTCTTTTGTTTTATTTCTCTTAGATGGGCATTGAGATGATCTATCCTATCAAGTAAGGGAGCCTGTTTGCAATGTCCTACCTTAAGGCCTGGTGTGAATAATTCCTTACACTTCCTTTCTGTTTCTAATTTAATGAAAATATCAGAGTTGTCTGGGACCCCAGAGATATCCTAGTCCAGCCCCTTATTTACAAGAGGAGGAAACTGGGATTGAGAGAGGAATTGAATTTACAAGAGATCACCCAGTGAATTGATAGAGGAGGCCAGATTAGGAGCCGTTCTCTTGTCTCCTAATCTTGTGTTCTTTAGACCATTCTACAGTGTCCCTTCCAGGACAGTCCTCCTCCTTCCTCTTCTTCTTTTCAACATCTCCCCTTCACACCTCTTTCATTCTTCTCTCTCTGCTCAGGAGTTTGTTCACCTTTCTTGGATGTTCTTATCCTAATGATAAAGATCAGTTTAAATGGGGGTTAAAAGATAGGCATGAACTCAGTGTCGTCTTTGCTCTTGAGTTCGTTGACCTCAACTAGCACTGAAAGTGGGGAGAATAATTGACTGAAAACGAGGTACAAGAGCTCCCTAAGTAGCCTTTTAAGAGTTTTTTGGTTCACTTTCTGGATATGAGAGTCTTCTCAGGAAGGCTATTGACATTATTGCTAAGGGGTAAACTATAGCCGAAAATTCTCAACAGCCGAGTAATCAGGGTAGTAAGTTTTAAACGTTGGGCCAGATGTGCAGATATAAAGGTATTATATATAGAGGTCTGGTTTTCTGCAACATGTGTTTTTTTACACATCCTGTTGGCTCTTTTGTAACCTATTTTGAGGCAAGAGCAGGACAAAAGTAGTGCCTCCAAGTGGAAGCACTACCTTCTAATGCATTATGATGAGAACGTGCAGGTTAGGAGCCAGAGGATCTGACTTTGCCACTTGGTGACTGGGCAAAGCAGCTAACCTGTCTGAATTTCGGTTCCCTCTATGATACCTTCTTTGGTTATCTCATAAGTTATTAAATAATTAGATGTGATAATATGCATACAAGTATTAAATCTGAAACCTAATGGGTAGTTAATAAATATTATGAAATGATTGTTCAAAGTGTTAAAAAAAAATAACTGTTTCCTGTAGAAATATGTGATTTTAGATTAGAAGGGTAGTTAGCTATTTGGATAGTCCGATCTTAGAAATGACCAGTTTCTTTGTTCTAGGAATACTTGTTGATTCAGAACGGAGGAAGTCCGATGCCAGCTCAGTCATGTCTCCCTTGAGAATCTCCCTCATTCAGGATATGAGGTCAGTGTGGGCTCAGACATAATAAGCCACTGAAATCCTGTTTCCAGTTGCTGCTTAGGTGTCCACGTTATGGAGCAGGGTCTCAGTGACCCGTGCTTCCACAGCATCTCAGTTAACCAGAAAGCCCTTCTCATTGGTCTTGTGCTTTATGATGTGTTTATAGAGCAGTTGGGTTTCCTGACATTTTTGGAGAATTATATCAGAGTATCTCCAGGCCTAAGGGCTCTGGGATTAACCTGACTTTTTTTGAGAGCTGTACTGTCACCTCCAACCCCCATCCTTTGCCAGGTGAGCCTATCTGGCAAAGCTACATGGAAGCCCAGGATTTATAGAATAAGAGAGATGTACTCTCCCAGGGGTGGATAGAGCTGTCTCTCTAGGTCTCCTTTGGCTTTACGGGGGAGGTATTGGTAGTGAGTTCATCTCCCACCCACCCTCACTTTTTCCCATTTCCCCTTCAGGCATATCCAGAACATCGGGGAAATCAAGACTGACGTGGGAAAGGCCAGAGCATGGGTGCGACTCTCCATGGAAAAAAAGTTACTTTCCAGACACCTGAAGCAGCTTCTCTCAGACCATGAGCTCACCAAGTAAGTCCACTCCACCTGGAGTAGAACAGACTCTCAGGAATGCTGGGGGGATTAGAAACCCCTGTGTGGGAAGGGGGGCGGGGGTAGTCAATATGTCATCACTGTTGTATTCAGCTAAACTCAATTTGCATATGAAGGTTTTGAAGCATTTCCACTTCTATCTGCAGAAGAATAATTCTGCTGTATTTGTTCTCCCTACCTTCCCAATCGGCATGCCCAAAATGGCTTTCTTATAGAGTAGTGAGAAGGATGGGGTCCTCATTGGCTACCTCAGAGTTTGGGGGCTCCTCCTCTCTATGCACTCTGGTGACTTGTATATCACAGGCATTTTTTCTGTCTCTTTCCTGAAGGATTGGAGAATTACAAGGAAACTTATAAAATATATATATACCCTTATCTCTTCTGTTCTCTCCTGGGCCCAGGGCAAGCCCACAGTAACCAAGTCCTTGCTCTTCCTCTCTGGACCTTTACTTCTAGGGCAAGTTGTAGGAACCTATTATTTGTAGGGCAGATTTGCAGATATTAGCTTAAATATATAAAATTATATTTTATATTTAAATATATTCTTATTGATTTCAGAGAGGAAGGGAGAGAGGGAGAGATAGAAACATCAGTGATGAGAGAGAATCATTTGATTAGCTGCCTCCTGCACTCCCCACACTGGGGATTGAACCTGAAACCCAGATATATGCCCCAATTGGGAATTGAAATGTGACCTTCTGGTTCATAAGTTGACACTCAACCACTGAGCCATGCTGGCAGGGCCCTTTGGCTTAAATATTTAGGGCCTTCCTTCATTTGACTCTAGCCTAACTTTTCAGGCTCATTGCTAACTGATCACTTTTCTGAGCCCTCAACCCTAGTCAAACTGGTTTCCACATTCTGTTATCCTCTTCCTATGTGCCTGTTTAAATTTGTGCTGTCTTTCAGGCTCCTCTTGTTCTAGGAACATTGAAGTTTATGGCTCTTTAAATTTCCAGAGAGCCTTGCATTTGGCAGCTCATTATGGGCAGTCTTATACTGTGGCCTTTACCTGACTAATTCACCTATACTGTATTTGAGGGTAGGTGCTTTCCTCTCTAGCACCTGCACATAGTAGACCTTGTTTGGTGAAGTATCTGTTGAAAGTACCTAATAAACCTGATTAGGTAGAACCTGACAGGTATACTGAATCCCATACCTCTTTGGCCATGATGATTGCAATCTTGGCAACCAGGATAGTTACATTCTTTTGTTTTGTGTATGTGTGCATTCCTCTGTGCTGAGGGCCTGTACATTTGGCTCTCTGTGTCCCCTCTCCTTGGAGAAGGTATCATTGCTGAGCAGTTGCAGAAGGCCTGCAATGTCAGACAAAGGAGTTGGTCTTTGATGAGTAAGCAGTGGGGATGCGGGTGGAGATGGGAGAAAGTTTAAAAAGGGGAAGGGATAGGAAACCAAGATGGCGGCATAGGTAAACACCGGAGAATGCTGCCTCGCACAACCATTTCAAAAATACAACTAAAAGACGGAACAGACATCACCCAGAACCACAGAAAAGCTGGCTGAGGGGAAATTCTGCAACTAGAAGGAAAGAGAAAAGCATACCGAGACTCAGAGGAGGTGCAGTATGGAAGTAAAATACTAAGGTGCAGAGGTGCGTGCCGAGTGGGCTGGCGGCTGAGGGCGCAGTTGTCATTTTCAATCAGGAGGGAGTCTCAGGCTCTGGGCTCCAGTTCCAGGCGAGTCTCTGGGGACCCAGACTCAAACGGGAGAAGCGGGACTGTCTGGCATCGGTCGGAACTCGAGGGCAGCTTTCTCTCTGAGGTACTTGCAGCGGTCGCTGGGACACTGAGAGGCAGAGCCTCTGGGGACGGGACTGAGAGCAGCCATAACTGCTCGCTCACTCGCTCGCTCGGCCTGCCCTGTTGATCCTCTGGGACCCGCCCTGCACAGAGGCATTAGCTGGTTAGCCTCAGGCAAAGGCTAGACTAATAGCACCTCCCTAGAGGACAGAAGTTCTCCCACTGCAGACACAGCTGATTCTCACAGCCAGTTGGCCTGGAGGTCAAATCCCCCCTAGTGTTACCTACAACAATCAAGGCTTAACTACAACAAGATGGTGCACAAAGACCACTAGGGGGTGCACCAAGAAAGCATAAAAAATGCGGAGACAAAGAAACAGGACAGAAATGGAGGAAGGCAAAATGCTGGATATAGAGCTCAAAACCACACTTTTAAGGTCTCTCAAGAACTGTCTAGAAGCCGCCGGTAAATTTAGTAAGGCCCTCGAAAAGACTGGTGAGACCGCTGATAAATTTAGTAAGGCCCTCGAAAAGACTGGTGAGACCGCCGATTATAATATAGTGAGATCCTCAAGAAATCTAATGAGACCCTTGATGTTGTGATAAAGGACCAACTAGAAATTAAGCATACACTGACTGAAATAAAGAATATTATACAGACTCCTAACAGCAGACCAGAGGAGCGCAAGAATCAAGTTAAAGATTTGAAATGCAAAGAAGAGAGAACCAAGATGGCGGCATAGGTTAACACCGGAGTTTGCTGCCTTGAACAACTACTTCAAAAGTGAAACTAAAAGACTGAACGGACATCACCCCGAACCACAGGAACACTGGCTGAGTGGAAGTCCTACAACTAGGAGGAAAGAGAAACGCATACGGACACTCAGAGGAGGCGCAGTGCTGAAGTCAAATTCTGAGGTGCGGAGTGCGCGGAGCGGGCTGGCGGCGGAGGGCGCAGTTGGCGTTTTCAATCGGGAGGGAGTCGCAGACTCTGAGCTCCAGATACAGGCGAGTCTTTAGGGACCCAGACTCAAACCGGGAGAGGCGGGACTGTCTGGCTTCGGTCAGAGCGAGTGCAGCTTTCTGTCCGAGGTTTGCAGCGGGTGCTGGGACTCAGAGAGGCAGAGCCCCGGGGGACAGGACTGAGAGCCGCCATAACTGCTCTCTCTGGCCCACCCTGTTGATCCTGTGCGACCCGCCCCGCCCAAGCCCTGCACAGAGGCATTTGCCGGATAGCCTCAGGCAAACGCCAGATTAGCACCTCCCTAGAGGACAGAAGTTCTCTCACTGCAGACACAGCTGATTCTCATAGCCACTTGGCCTGGAGGTCAAACCCTCCCTGGTATTAGCTACAACAATCAAGGTTTATAGGACTGCGCACAAAGACCACTAGGGGGTGCACCAAGGAAGCATAACAAAATGCGGAGACAAAGAAACAGGACAAAATTGTCAATGGAAGATACAGAGTTCAGAACCACACTTTTAAGGTCTCTCAAGAACTGTTTAGAAGCCGCCGATAAACTTAATGAGATCTACAAGAAAACTAATGAGACCCTCGATGTTATATTGGGGAACCAACTAGAAATTAAGCATACACGGACTGAAATAACGAATATTATACAGACTCCTAACAGCAGACCAGAGGAGCGCAAGAATCAAGTTAAAGATTTGAAATGCGAAGAAGCAAAAAACACCCAACCGGAAAAGCAAAATGAAAAAAGAATCCGAAAATACGAAGATAGTGTAAGGAGCCTCTGGGACAGCTTCAAGCGTACCAACATCAGAATTATAGGGGTGCCAGAAGATGAGAGAGACCAAGATATTGAAAACCTATTTGAAGAAATAATGACAGAAAACTTCCCCCACCTGGTGAAAGAAATAGACTTACAAGTCCAGGAAGCGCAGAGAACCCCAAACAAAAGGAATCCAAAGAGGACCACACCAAGACACATCATAATTAAAATGCCAAGAGCAAAAGACAAAGAGAGAATCTTAAAAGCAGCAAGAGAAAGAAACTCAGTTACCTACAAGGGAATACCCATACGACTGTCAGCTGATTTCTCAACAGAAACTTTGCAGGCCAGAAGGAAGTGGCAAGAAATATTCAAAGTGATGAATACCAAGAACCTACAGCCAAGATTACTTTATCCAGCAAAGCTATCATTCAGAATTGAAGGTCAGATAAAGAGCTTCACAGATAAGGAAAAGCTAAAGGAGTTCATCACCACCAAACCAGTATTATATGAAATGCTGAAAGGTATCCTTTAAGAAGAGGAAGAAGAAGAAAAAGGTAAAGATACAAATTATGAACAACAAATATGCATCTATCAACAAGTGAATCTAAGAATCAAGTGAATAAATCATGTGATGAACAGAATGAACTGGTGATTATAATAGAATCAGGGACATAGAAAGGGAATGGACTGACTATTCTTGAGGGGGAAAGGGGTGTGGGGGATGCGGGAAGAGACTTGACAAAAATCGTGCACCTATGGATGAGGACAGTGGGTGGGGAGTGAGGGCGGAGGGTGGGGTGGGAACTGGGAGGAGGGGAGTTATGGGGGGGAAAAAAGAGGAACAAATGTAATAATCTGAACAATAAAGATTTAATTAAAAAAAAGGGGGGGGGAAGGAAATGGCCTGCATAGCTCTCCCTGGTCTGTGAGCTGGCTCATTCCCTTCATTGCCCTTTATTGTCTCTGAAGTGTCCCTGGCTTACATTCACATTCAGAGCAGTTTTCTGACTCGTGGGTCTCAGGTCAGCTGGGATCTGAGACTTGGCCTGGGAATGAGTATTGATCGCAGATCTTCTGTCGTTGCTCTTCCAACACCACACACTAGGTGAAGCCCTAGCAAGATGCCTGAGAGGGCCTGTGTCTTTCCCAGAGAAAATTGCATTTGGGCCCTCAGTTTAAGGAAGGAGATTCCAAGACCTCTGACACTACATTGTAGGAACATCAACCCTTGGACACAGGGTAGAGTTTGGTTTTTGTTGTTCCTGCTATAGCTTAAGCCACATTCCCTCTAGCCCTCAGTTGGAGTAACTGGCTTTGTTCCTTTTTCAGGTAGCTCTAAAGAACTTAGGGCTTGACATCTCATTCTTCCCCTAGCTGGCTCCTTCCAGAACTGAGTAATTCTAGTCTCTTTCCTCTCCTCTTGGCTGGGAGACTGATGTATTGCTTCCTCTCCGACAGAAAGCTGTACAAGCGCTATGCCTTCCTGCGCTGTGATGACGAGAAGGAGCAGTTCCTCTACCACCTCCTCTCTTTCAATGCCGTCGATTACTTTTGCTTCACCAATGTCTTCACAACTATCCGTGAGTAGCCCTGTGCTCCCCACTAGCCTTCTTAGTTCCTGTCTCCATGAGCCTGCCTGAGGCTAACTCACTGTCCCCTTTTTAAGAAAAAAGATGATCAGTTGTACTTTTGATTTGCCTTTTGCTTCTGTGGGAGAGAGGTGCAGTGCCCTCCTTGGAGGTTATTTTTCTCCGAAGCTGCTTATTGTTGCTCTGAACTGGGGAGCTCAGTCTTTTTGGCCATCGTGTTGTCACTGTTGTTCTAGGCACTGCCCTGGGAGCCTCAGGTGATGGATCGGATTGGGTGTGGTGGGGGAGTTCACTGCCCTCTAGATACCTGTAAAGAAATTTCCCTTTGTTTTTGGGCTGAGAGAGTCATTATTCAGTATCACGGAAGGTTTCAGAACTGCCCACAGGGACAAGCAGCTCTTCCACATAGCCATGAAGGTTTGGGTCCAGACCCTAACTCATTATGTTTCTGTGAGCAGAGTTTGCCCCTCCTGTGGGCCTCAGTCCCCTATTTGCAGAGTGAGGAAGAGGGTTCAGAATAGTCTAAGGCAGGCCCCTGGAGCCTCATCTTTCTTTGGTGCCAGGATGTTGGGTGGGGGGTAGTCTCTGAATTTGTCCCATGACTAATTGTTTGGCCAGTGACTCAACAGCCTCAGTGGTGTGGTGTGGACTCTTTTGTTACATATCTTTTTAAATTCAAATACCATTCTGATCGCTCATGGTCCAAGAACATTCAAATAATAGACCAAAAAGAAGCAGATGTTAAAGATTGGTCTTCATACATTAGAGTCAGTGATGCCATGCTTGTCTATGGTCTCGCAACATAAAATCACATCCACACCTCAGTGGCCACCAAACTACTCAGCAGAGCTTCCTTAACAGCTGTTTGAAGCTATCATTTTGAGTACTAGTGACTTTTTTTTTCAGGCTCTCAGCAAGGGTTAGAGGAATCAGCTCAGCCTCGGCACAGTGCCAAAATGTGGCCAAGTAAGGCTTTGAGTCCGTCACAGCAGCATTTACTAGCACAGGGGCCTTCTCCACAAGGTTGCGGACAAATTGGGCCATGGTTCTAGGATGGAAATTCTGTGGTCCCAAATGGTCAGCTGAATGTCACAGCGTGCACTTTTGTTTCTACATGACATCCGTCTTCCCTCTCAGAGAAGAGGGCTGTAGGCTTCAGTAGAAGCAGCACTGAACTAGAATTTAGGAGACCCAAGGGAAACGAATTCCCTCTCAGTGCCTCAGAAAAGGCAACAGAATACCTGCATGTCCTCTCCTGAGATTGTTATTAGAGTGCAAGAGATGATAGGTGGAAGTGCTCTGAAAAGCAATTCAGTACAATGTTGAGTTGGTGATGTTATTTAAGGAATAGGTTGACTTAGCTCTGAGCCTGCATATGGGCTTGGATCTTTGATGTTTGGGGTAACCCCAGGGGGAGTGAGATTGATGGGAGGGTTGGCTAATATTCTGAGCCAACCAGAGACTAGATCCTGGTGACTTGCAGCTCCGGCTGTGCTGGGGCTGCTATCATGTGAGCATGCCTGGAGCAGGTCAGGCCCTTTTAGGTATGGGAGGGATTCCTGATCCTCCTCCATGCCTTTGTGGCTTCCTCTAAACAGTGATCCCCTACCACATCCTGATTGTACCGAGCAAGAAGCTGGGGGGCTCCATGTTCACTGCCAACCCATGGATTTGCATCTCGGGAGAATTGGGTGAGACACAGATCCTGCAGATTCCCAGGAACGTGTTGGAGATGACCTTCGAGGTACGTGTTGTCCGGGAACCACACTCTAAGCTCTGTGGAAATCTGAGTTTGCAACAGTTGCTTTTCTGGAGCTTTCTGCAGAGGTTTTTGGAGGCTTTGCTCTATACAGTGTTATGCATCAGCACGGCTGACCTGTCCTGAGATGATTGGAGCCAAGGGCTGACCCAAGGAGGGGGGAGCCTTCCCTGTCTAAATAGTCTCTGGCTGGAAAGCACTTACCCATCTGAATTTTCATACCTCCCTGACCATGGTGTGCTGAGAAATCCCCAAGAGTTCTTTCAGCTGCTGGGCCCATATGTTCACAGAGACCTCTGGACCTCAGACTGCTATCCCATTTCCAGAGCTGTAGGCTCCCGGGCCCTGTTCTCTCTGTAGGTAGCAGCCATCGACCCCTCATGAGATGGTACTGTACTGTTGGCTTTGGTGACAGGTGGAACCATGAGCTCTGTCCCTGCCAGGTTGCAGGCAGCCAATCAGATGTCTGCCTCCAAGGAGTGTCACTAGTTTTTCCTATTTCCTTTTTCTACTTCATCTTCTCTGGCTGTTCTCTCATAGTGCCAGAACCTGGGGAAGCTCACTACTGTGCAGATAGGCCATGATAACTCTGGGCTGTATGCCAAATGGCTGGTGGAGTATGTGATGGTCAGGAATGAGATCACAGGACATACCTACAAGTAAGTGTTCCCTTAGCTGTGCTCTAAAATGCTGGGGCAAGGGTACCACCAGGGGCTGTGTTTGATGCTTGGGTATGTGGAGTTCTCAAGGAGGCTGCTTAGGCTGTGATAGGCTGGGGCAACTTCCTATTTGGCTCTGCCTCATGCACCTGAAAAAAAAAAATAGGAGGAGAGTTTATCAAGGGAAGATGTGTGACATTGCTGTGAGAGGTTCCAGCTCACCCATCACTCCCTGATTGTGCACAGGGGATGGATGAGCAGGCCCTTGAGGGATCCTCAGGGATGGCTTTGTTGATGGCTCTTTCTGAGCAGTAGGGGGACGGGCATGGGAGGAGCTGGCAGCTCTGACAGGCCATTGTCCGACCTGTAGGTTCCCCTGCGGCCGGTGGCTGGGGAAGGGCATGGACGACGGAAGCCTGGAGCGGGTCCTAGTGGGAGAGCTGCTCACATCCCAGCCCGAGGTGGACGAGAGGCCGTGTCGGACCCCGCCCCTGCAGCAGTCCCCCAGCGTCATCCGCAGGCTTGTTACCATCTCACCTAACAACAAGCCTAGTAAGTGGGAAGAGAGGCTGGGCCCTCATGCCTACCCAGCCTGGGAAATGTGGGCAGATCTCTGGGAGCCCTGATATGTTAGCCCAAATCCCAGCTTGTGAGCTGCCTCAGGAACCACCTCTGTCACCAAAGCAGCCTCAGGGGATCTAACACTCTCCGTAGAGGCCTGGAAGGAGAGGGAGCGCTTATGGAGGCTGGCTTGGCGCCTCCGTACTATTTGTATATGATCCTAGAGAGGTGAGGGGTCAACTGCAGGCCTTCTCTTTCCTGGTTCCTGGGCTTCACAGCCAGTCTTGGCCCTCTTTTGGCTGCCAAACGTTCCAGGGTAAATGGAAAATAAACTTTACCAGCATCTCTTAGAGACAGAACTTGAAGGTATTGACTTTGCTTTCCTCCCCAAGATTTTAGGAAGAGCTAGCTCAGCACAGTTTGGTGGGTGAGAGCTGATTTTGCTAAGGTCAGGCTCCCCTACCTCTCCCATGAGCCCTCACAATGTCCTCAGTGTCCTGCTCAGGCAGCTAAGCACTGTTAGCCTCTGAGATTGGTGAGGGGTGTCTGCTTGATTTTTATCAGAGCTGAACACTGGGCAGATCCAGGAGTCCATTGGGGAGGCAGTCAATGGCATCGTGAAGCACTTCCATAAGCCTGAGAAAGAGGTAAGCCTTCCTGTCCTCCAGCCCAGGGCCTTACATTGAGTGAGAGAGAATAATACTGTTCTTGGCCCATGTGCTTGGACAGCCTGGAGTGTAGAGTGTGTGCCTCAGTTTGAGACTGAGCAGATTTTTTCCTCTGGGGATCTCTGCTTGGGTTACCCTGTTTTCCTTACACACTAATGGCCCAACAGAGTCCTGGGGCCTCTAGTGAACAGTGTATATTCCTATTTTCTTCAGGATTTGCCCATCTCCCTGAATAATGGCCACATTGGCTTTGTCCCCCTGGTGGGAACCCATATTCATCATCTATTCATTTATTCATTTACTCAATAGCTATTCACTGAGAGCTGTTCTGAGCCAGGCACTGTGCCAGGTGCTAGGGGAACAGACAAGGTCCCTGCCTGTCTTTTGCTGCCCTCTCAGCTGTGGGTTGTGGATTTGAGGATGCAGTGGTGGGAGGGCAGCTTGAGGCAAGCCTGTCACTCTCCTGTTTCCTTACTAGAGAGGCAGTCTGACGCTGTTGCTTTGTGGAGAGTGTGGCCTTGTCTCGGCTCTGGAACAGGCTTTCCAGCATGGATTTAAATCGCCCCGTCTCTTCAAAAATGTCTTCATTTGGGATTTCCTGGGTGAGTTGGACTAGGATGTGTGGTGGGAAAGCATGGAGAGACATGGGGACTCACCAGCATAACGTGGGTGCTAACCACTGGGGCCTGAGGTACAGAAGCCAAATCAGGTAACTCTCAGATTAGATCTGTTGTTTGCTCTGCCTTTTCCCAAAGGTAATGACAGAAGTTCTCCCCACCTTCACCCCTCACCTCCTGAGAACCGGATGGAGAAGGTTCTCTCTAAGCATCTGTTGTATATCACAGGCTTAGTCATGAGTCCTCACACTCTTTTCTTGGAGATCTAGAAGGCCAGCCCAAGCCCTGTGTTGCACCCCTTAGAGAATTTTTATGCAAGGAGCTTCTCCTTCAAGAGTTTTTTAGAAATCTTAAGACTAGAGAAAGTAGCATCTTTATATCAGGGCCACGTAAATTTTAAAAATAAGGTTAAGGAATATAGGAATCATTTTGAAAGGTGATGAGTAACATCAGAACACTCATGTTATTCTCATTAAGTTGCTTACATCAATAACATTGAGATGCCCATGGCTGGTGGCCTGCAGGACTGTCAGAGACAGGGCGGCTTTAAGAGGCTTTGTCATCAGCAAGCTTTCTCCTCTTCACAGAAAAAGCACAAACCTATTATGAGACTTTGGAGCAGAATGAAGTTGTTCCTGAGGAAAATTGGCATACAAGGGCCCGGAATTTCTGCCGATTTGTCACTGCAATCAACAATACTCCCCGGAACATTGGCAAGGATGGCAAGTTCCAGATGCTGGTGTGCTTGGGAGCCAGGTACTGCAGCCTCAACCCCAGAGTACATAGCAGCCAGCCTTGGAAGTGGTGCTGGAGTCCTAGTGTGGTGCAGGGGTGGGGAGTAGCTGATGACCAGGCATTCTTGGGCAGGTGAGGCCTTAGAGGACTTCCTAGAGCCCCTTAATTTCCTTTATGTACCATGTGTATGGGTGGGGATCTGTGGAGGTGGGGGTGAGAGTGTGTGTAGCTGGGGAAGAAGAGCCACATTAAAAATATATATACATTATATATATTGATTTCAGAGAGGAAGGGAGAGGGGGAGAGAGAGAGAAATATCAATGTGAGAATCATTGATCAGTTGGCTGCCTCCTGCACTCCCCTGCCCCCCCCCCCCCCCCCCCCCCCACTGGGGATCAAGCCCATAATCCGGGCATGTGCCCTGACCGGGATAGAACTGTGACCTCCTGGTTTATAGGTCAAAGTTCAATGAATAAGCCATACCAACCAGGCCCAAGAGCCACATGTTGATGGAAGGAATAAAACCACCCACTGGAGAAATTTAAAAGAGTATATATAGTCATTCCTTCAACAAACATATGAATGTGCCAGGCCTCGTGATGGTGGGAATAGAGATAGTGTGACTAGAGCTGAATGAAACATGCCTCTACCGTGTGGAAGTTTACTTGTCCCAATTAAATACAGTACAAGGCAGGAGGTTGTGAGAGCCCAACAAGAGGTACACATTTATATTATACAGTATGCTGGAAATACAGAGGAGAAAGATCAGAGAAGGCTTCAGGGAGGAGGCGCTAAGGACCTGGGCCAGAGGATCCTTCCCTGTTAAGATAGAGTTGTTTAACCAGGGGACTGAAATGATACTAATTTGATATCATGGATGGTGTGCATGAGAGTGGGCAAGATGGTTAGGGGCTAGTCCAGTAGGTCAGGTGAGAGCATGAAGCCCTAATGAACCTAAGGCAATAGTTTGTTCAGGCACAAAAGGCAGGGAGTGGGTGTGGGATTCACATCCCACATCAGCCACTTAATAACCGTGTGATCTTGGAAAAGCTATTTAACCTCTATGCTTCTCAATTTCTTCTTGTATAAAGTGGGGATTATAACAGCAGTAATGGCATTATATCATATCATAGGGTGGAGTGACCGTTAAATACCTTATGACAGTGCTTGGTACATGCCGAGCTCTATGTGGATGTTAGCTCTCAGTATCACTCCTGGTGGTGGTAGCTGTGGGGAGGAAGGATTGACTGCTATTGGTTAGAGACTGGCTGTTGAGATGGATGTAGTGGTGCTGACTGGAGTTGGTGTCTGTTTGGTGGCGGGGTTATCTAAAGAGGAACAGGCCTGGTGGCAGATGTCAGGGCTGATTTGGGTCAGGTTGGGCTGGTGTCCTGGGCAGGGCAGCCCTCAGTAGGAGTCTTTTATTGCTGTGTAAGGCCTCTTTCCCAAGCCCTTATTGGAGGAAAAAAGGGGTTGTGGGGAGCTATCCACTTCTCCAGCTTCAGACTTTGTTCAAGGTTTCCCCTTGGCCTTCCACTAACTGTCTCCCTTTCTTTCCCTCTGACCCACCTGGACTGATCCTGCCCTGCCAGAGATCACCTCCTACACCACTGGATTGCCCTGTTGGCTGACTGCCCCATCACCGCACACATGTATGAGGATGTGGCGCTGATCAAAGACCACACACTTGTCAATTCCTTGATCCGCGTGCTGCAGACATTGCAGGAGTTCAATATCACGCTAGAGACGTCCCTGGTCAAGGGCATCGACATCTGACCTCTCAGCACCAGCTAGCAACAGGACTGAGAAAGACTCACCCTGCAGCTCTGACCCGTCTTCCCCAAGGACTTAAGCGAGTTGTGCAGGAGACGGAGATGTACACTCACTGTAAAAAGAAAACTAGAGGATTTTTGGAATAAATAATCTATTTTAGAGTTTATTTGCTGATTTGCTTTTTACACACTTTCATGTGAAAGAGTGATAGGGAGAGGGAGACGAGGTTGGTGCTGCTTATTTTGAAGCTGGTGCCCTCCCTCGCTGTGGCCGCGTGCTGGGAGCCTGCGGCCTCCCTGGACTGAGGTTGGCACCGCGTGCAGGGCAGTTCCGCTTCCTTGCCCTGCTGCGTCAGTGAGGCCATTCCACATCGTTTTTAACTAATGTTTTCTATATTAACATTATTATGGATATTTGACTTTCCTGGGCCACACACAGGTGTGCTGAGTGGAAGCCCGAAGCTCCAATCAAAGGGATTTTTAGTAGTGCCTCTTCAAGCACTGACAAGTCAGTCCACATCTTTTCTTTTCTTTTTTTGTCAGTATTATTTGGGAAGAAGACATGCTAAGATGTTTCATTATGTAGAAAAATCACGTTTCCTCTTGGCACGCAGTTGCGCAGAAGAAAGCAAGCATGTTTTAACAGGTTTTCCTTTCCCCCCCATATTATTTATTTAACCCTCCATTGTGTGTTTTAAGTCTTTCTTTTTTTCTTTTTTTAAGGAAAGAAAAAGCTTGTCACAGTCTAACTGGCTATATTATTGTTAAATTTATGTTGTTTTGCAACTTAGAAACCAGCTACAGTATGGCCCACTTAATAAAACACCTGAAACAAAACTGCATGGTCCCTGATTTTTATGGGGGTTTATGAGCAGTGGGTGGCGGAGGGTGCAGTGTGGTCTCACTACTGAGGACCGGGCTGCAGCATCGCTTCTCTCCCCTCTCCCCGCTGGCTCGCTGGCTCAGGGCTGTGGGCTGCCCAGGGTGCCTCTGAGGGGTTGTGTCTCCTGGGTCCTTCCCGCTGCAGCACTAGGAGCTTTCACAGCTGTTAACTCACATGGTTATTTGAGAGGGATGCACACAGGTTATTTTCCTACTCTACAAAGAAAAAGGCTAGACCAGTGATGGCGAACCTATGACACGCGTGTCAGAGGTGACACGCAAACTCATTTTTTTGGTTGATTTTTCTTTGTTAAATGGCATTTAAATATATAAAATAAATGTCAAAAATATAAGTCTTTCTTTTACTATGGTTGCAAATATCAAAAAATTTCTATATGTGACACAGCACCAGAGTTAAGTTAGGGTTTTTCAAAATGCTGACACGCCAAGTTCAAAAGGTTCGCCATCACTGGACTAGACAGAAGGGCAAACACCTGGCCAAGGTTGCAAAGATCGTCACTTGACAGGCAGGATGGGCCATTTCTTGAGGGGTAGGGGTGGGAACATAGGACACTTGAGATCCTGACAGCTCCCAGGAAAAAAGCTCTTTCTTGAGACAGGGGCTTACTTTTCCTGGGATGGCAGGTGTAGCTTTATGAGAGTGTTGGGAACCAGCTCTTCAAACAAGCTGCTTTATGGAGGCAATGATCAGGTAGAACACCTCAAACCAGTATCTTCTTGTGTTTCCCTGATTTCAGCATGTGCTGTTCACCCTGCCTCCCCTCATGCCCACTTCCTGTTCATTGTTCAAGGTGTACTTTAGGAGTCACCCATCATAAAGCCTTCCTTAATTCCGGTGGGCACGGTTGATCATTCCCTCATTGTGCTCCTATAGTTTCTTACATGTTGGCATTTCCTTCATTTTTCATTGCTGCCTTCATGTTGGGGCCACTTCCTAGCCTGAGCGCCTAGAGGGCAGAGAGGGCCTCTTGTTCATTTAGTCCCTGGTGTCTGACAGGTGGTGAGTGCCAGCTAAGGCTTTTTGAAGAGATGACCAAGGGGACTGGAGGCTCCTAAGACGGCAGCAGTGCAGCATCCTGCAGGCAGGGGGCGTTAGTGGGCTGCACTACAGCTGTCTAACTGAAGGCCAAGGGGAGTCTTCAGGTTTTTTGGAAGTGCAGCTTCTGGAGCAGGAAGGGGGATTTCTGGCTGGGTGAGAAGGGCAGCATGGACCTCATCTATGTTATGGCTCTTATGGGCCTAGGCCAGAGGTGTCCTTAAGTCATGCTTTACACACACACCTCTTTCCTCACAACTCTGTAGATTATCCCTGGTTTACAGGTGAGGAAAGCAAAGCTCAGAGTTTAATCACTTGCCTAAGGCCACACTATTTCATAAGCAGTTTGTAGTTACCAGAACTGTCACTCTAGGCTTGTGGCTTTTCCATTGACCACTACTCCCTTATTTGATGCAGGTCTCTGCTCAGATGTCATCAGAGAGACCTACCCTGACTGCTCTAAAATACCAACAGGTCAGTCACTTTTTACCTTCTCATTTTGTTTTATTTTCCTTCCTAACACAATCATTATACTCATTAATTGCTAATTCTAAATGTGTATTTTATAAGGGAGGGACATGGTCTGCTTTGTTCACTAAGTAGTAACTGGTACATGGTAGGTAACCAATAAGAATCTGTGGAATAAGTGAATTCATTGGCAGTGGTTAAGACTACGGAGCCAAAGTTCTTAGGTTGAATCCTTGCTCTGTTACTGTCAACTAGAGCAAGCTACATAACTCCCGAATGTCAGTCATCTATAAAATGGGAATGATAATAGTGTCTGCATCATAGGGTTGTTGTGAGGACTAAATGGCTCTACCTGTATGCTTGCAATAGGATAAGGTGTATACTAAGTGCTTGATAAATGTTGGTGGTTATAATTAACCTATCGTATTAAGCCCTGTTCTGGTTCCTGACTTGAGATCCAGACCTCTTGTCCTTAAGGAGCTGAGAGGCAAGTGCTGTGGGGGAGTGAGATACATGTAGAGAGAACAGCAGGAGCAAAGGCATGGATGGAGCTGTGAAGGTGCTAGATAGTGAAGATTATAGGAAGTCTAGTGCTAGAGAAGAGTCTGAGACAGACGGGGGAGCACCCCAGGTCAAGAATAGAGCTTTACCAGTCTCCCCAGAACTCCATGTTCCCCTGCTCCTCATCCCAGTCCCAACTACCTCCCTCCATTCAACTTCTTGACATTATAGTAATAATCACTTACTTGAGTTTCTTTATTGTTTGTTTTTGTTACTCCTCACCTGGGGATATTTTTTCCATTGATTTTTAGAGGGAGTGGAAGGAAGGGAGAGACAGAGAGAGAAAGAAACATTGATATGACAGTGACACATCGATTGGTTGACCAGGGCCAGGGATCAAGCCTGCAATTGAGGTACATGCCCTTGATCGGACTCAAACCTGCAACCTTTCAGTCCGAGGGCTGATGCTCTAACCACTGAGAAAACGTGGCCACGGCAAGTTTCTTTATTGTTTTATCACCCAGTGTGTATCCTTACATACTATAGTTTTCAGCCTCAGTTTTAAAAAATGTGATACAGCTTTTAAGTTTTGTTTTAAAGGGCCCCTTCTACACACACAGCCTTTTTTTTTTTTTTTTTTACAGTTTATCTGTTGAAGAACCTGGGCCATTGATCTGTAGTTTTCCAGTCTGGATTTTGCTAATTTTATGCTAGGGTGCAGTTTACTGTGCTCCATCATCTCTGCGTTTTCTGCAAATGAGCAGCTAGATCCAGAGACCTGATCTGCCTCAGGTTTGATGAACTCTAGATGGTTGTATGCTCATTTATCAGGAGGCACATCATGTCTGGTGTTTACTTTTTTTAAAAAAATATTTTTATTGATTTCAGAGAGGAAGGGAAAGGGAGAGAGAGAGAGAGAGAGAGAGAGAGAAACATCAATGATGAGAGAGAATCATTGATTGGCTGCCTCCTGCACACCCTCCACCAGGGATCGAACCTGCAACCCAGGCATGTACCCTTGACTGGAATCAAACCCGGGACCTTTCAGTCTGCAGGCAGACACTCCATCCATCGAGCCAAACCGGCGAGGGATGGTGTTTACTTTTTTGATGTTAGCAGCCATTGATGCTCAATGCCTACATCCTATAAGTAATTTACTTGGGTGGGGGCAATGCAACATAGAGATATTCTAACCTATCTTTTTGTTTTAATTTATTAGATGAAGTAATTTTATTAGGAAATGCTGCCCCTCATCTATTTGATCTCTCAGAGTTTGTATAGGAAAAGCAGGATAAGTGTGTAATTTTATTTACTCAACTTTTAAGATAGCGAACTGGACTTGGCTCCCTGTTATCCTCAGAAGGTGGCATTTAAAAAAAAATACGATGATGAACTCAGGTTTAAATGTAGTTGATGGTTTCATCCCATTGCAATTATTATTATTATTGTTCCTATTTGGCTGTTAGGAGCCTCTTTAAGTTGGCTCCTGAGATGACTAGTGGTTGCTTTCTGGTATTTCAAGATGCTATAGGCTCTTCTTGTACATTTTCTGTCCTCGACTTGGAATTAGTAATTTTGCTAAGAAGCTTCACATGTGTTTTACCCATCCCTGATGTATAAAGGCAGCCCTGCCACCTTCTGCTGTTCAGGTTTAATGATCTTGCCAAGATGGTGACTTTTTTTTGGTCTGCTGGTCCTTAGACACAAGTGGTCCAAATGACCCTGATGGCAGGGTACTGGGACCTATAGAGCTTAGGTCCCTCGCAAGAGAGTGCGCTTTCTGGGGACCAGCACTTCCAACCCTGCAGAACCCAGAGTTCAAGGATCAGGAAGCACAGTCTCCCTCAGTGGGTCTTTGGAAGTGATTGTAACTGTGGCCATTCCTGCTTCTTGGTTTTGGGACCTATGTGTTCTTCCTTAGGGACACACAGTACCACATACATGTCTCTGATTTAATGCATTATAATCTGAAGGATGGCACTCCCCCATCCTTGCATATTATTGCCTCAGATTATTGAAGCTAGTGCTTCAGTTGTGCCTTCAGTAGGCCATTCCAGTGCTCTTTGAGGTTGGCAGTTTCCGAATGGTGCAGTATATAGATAACCAGTAGATCCTAATAGCATGGGCCCGCTCCCTAACTTCCTTCCCTGTGAAATGGACGTGCTGGTTGGAAGCCATGCTGGAGGGAATTCCATACCTGATGATCAGGTCTGAACTTCTGGATATTGGTGCTGTCTCAGGTTCTGTGGGCAGAAAAGACTAACTAACTTATTCCCAGAATAGAGCTGTGTCCCTGTGAAGATGAACTGCTGGCTCTCTCGGGATGGAAAAGGCCTAATATAGTTGATTTGCCATCAAGTGGCTGGTTGATCTCCTCTTATCGGGGACTCAGCATTGGTCTCTTGCTGGCAGATTGGACATTCAGAGGTAGCAGTAGCTAGAATAGCGCTGGTACATGGAGGCCATGCTGTTGGGCCTATGCATAGCCTCCGTCTTTGCCATTGTGACCAACTCCTTGATGTGCCTATTAAGCCAGTTCCAGGATGGCCAATGACAAAGTGGCTGAGTCACTTAATCTACTTGTGTGTTCAGTTTTCTTCTATGGTAGATGCTTTGTGGTGGCACTAATGTGTGATACAAAAGGCTTTCATGCTTTGTGCCTACTCCTAAAATGTCCATCCATATGCCTCTTCCCAGACCTTCTTGCCCTCAGTCTTCCAGACTTTTCTTTTCCAGTCCTCTGACCAGCCAGCTAGACCACTGGCCACTGCCCAGGAATGTATATATACTCTCCTGCATATAGCTCTCCTTCCATAACCAGGTGCACCACCTGCAGCTCTGCTCATTGGGTAGATTTTTCTCTTGCTTTCCCTGGCTTCCTACTGTCTTTCTAGGCAGCTCCTGGGTGTAACTGTCAGGCAGCCACTGT